TGGGGGGGGGGGGCAACAGGGGCCATGCCCCCCCCCCCAAAAAAAAAATCACCAAAACCATATCTTTTGAAGATGACGTCGCAAAAAGGCAGCCACCAGCGTACAACATTAAAAAAAAAAAACAGTTTTTCGGGGAACAAAAAAAAGTTTTGGCCCGCCCTAAAACCCCCCACTGTGTCCTGGATTTGGCCTGATACATTCGTGAGAGCGAGACCAGTACCGGACTGAACGGTCGCGCGATTGCAATGAATTGTTGATTGCAAGAAGTGAAACAAAGGAAGAATAGTTTGAGTGAGGGGTGGTTCCTCCATCGAGAGTGCAGTTGAATAGGCAATTCGGCGACACAATGAACGCGCTAAAAACATTACGTAACAGAGTGCGCTGTCAATAGTGTAAACGCCCGATATTGGAAGAGAAAGTAAGGTGCGTTTATCGAATTCCTTGGTACTGTAGTGATTGGAAGGAATTCGAGTACATTGTTCAATGATGAATATTTGTGGCGATACCCTCAGTCAATTGAGGGCACTATTTCAGTTTAACGGTCAAGCCTACGCAGGTTTGGTTGGGGGTTAAACGTACGAAAAGTAGTTCGCAGATAATTAGCTGTTTCGGCGACGTAGTTTGCCGATACAGCTCCTTTTAATTACGTGTGTTCATATTGATATTAAAGATAGATAAAGGGATTATTTGCTGTTGTGATTAGAAAGAATTGTTTGTGATTACATAATAATTGTACAGTGTGCATTGACGATCAGTTGTGCGATTACATTTAGCTGACTGAGGGCGCTATTCAAGTTTAACGGTCAAGCCTACGCGCAGTTTGTTTTGGGAGTTGAACGTACGAAAAGTAGTTCGCGTATAATATTGGCTGTTTCGGTAACGTCATTCGCCAAAACAGTTCTAGTTGCGTGTATTTCGTGTTAGGCATTTCTTTTATTCTCATTTGTAACTGACTCTAATTATAGGCTCCCAACCAGGGGAAAAACCTACAACCTCTAGATTCATATTCTTGGTAATGTAACAAATGAAAAATATATATACATTAGATTCTCTAATCAGTCTATGTTACCCACAACCCTCCAAGGTGCAGAACCGTGCGTTTGAGACACCCACCAAATCAAAGCTTATTTCATAATCTTATATTTTCTGTTTTATTTTCGTGCATTTATCCTATAACGTTTGGGAGAAAATTCCATCAAAGATGTCATTCCGAAAAAGTAGTCCTGTTGCCCATCGCCATTTTGCAAAATGCATAATGCGCTCCATTGCAAAATAGAGCAATTTCCGGGCCCAATTTCATGCAAATATCACAGAAACACGAGCTCACACTCCTGTGTACGGCTTTTACCCATTTTGTTTTAACATCAAGTTCAAAGCCCTCAACGGTGTCCACTCTGCGTTTGTAACTCACAAACGCCTTGACCTCTAGTTGTGTTTGAAATGTTAGTACATGTAGGCCTACAGCTGTTACATAAGTTCAGGGTTCGACCTCAGCGGTGGCCCGCTTAAATTAGCCGGTTGGCGAGTGAAAAATTATTAGGCTACGGCAAAGATGAAAGGACTGGAAGAAATAAATCATTCAATTCACAAGCACACCTGTATCACTTTGTGTCTAATTTTAATATTTGTTTATGGTCAAATTATTTAAACACTGACAAGAGTGCCTCATGATACATGTTTTAGGCTACATGTATGCACATTCTTGTTTATAAGACACTCTTTAGTAACCGTTCCACACTCTATAAAAAAAAACCAGGCAGGCTTGTAAAAAATAAGGGTGTGTTTTAGTAACCCTGCTGGAAAAAAATGTTAAGGGCGAATTTATTTTTTTTAAAAATATTTCGTTTTCACTGTACCTTATAAAGCCGCGACATTGGTAAAAATAATAATGGGATAAAGAAAAACAAAAAGTTATGTGGTGTTGACCAAGCATTCAGGGGTCGCGATTGGTTACCAACTCCCATATAGGACTCTTCCTGGGTCTCGGATTCCCCGGCCCACCACACCTCCTTCCCTATCCATCCATGTAACCCCGGAGGGCCAAGCACCGTTAAGGGAGGAAACGAGGCGACACCCTATGCCTTGCTGCCGAGACAGCAAAAGAGCCCCGTACCTATGAGTAGATGCATAACCTGGACTTCGCAGACAGTCCCAGCCGGTGACTTAACTGATTGAGCTAAGGTCGGTTGGTATTTGACGACGGGAAATTAAGACTCTTAAGTAAATGATTGAGCGCGTGTATTGAAAACCAAAAAATGCACCGCGGTCCGTTTCGAACCCCGGACCCCGCGGTCTGTGGACAATGACTCGTACCACTAGGCTGTTGTACATACAGTCTTCATACTAGAGTCTGGAAACACTTAGAGGATTGTCAGCTCCAGTCTGCGCTTTGCCTTCATACATGCATGTAAAAAAGAACCCTCTAAACTTCGAAATTCCCGTCATAAACAAATGATTTAAATGTCTTGTAAAAAAAACGAACCTGTTTCATGAACATGCACTTTGGCTGAAATTACGTATTCGTAAATATGCAGTACATTCGCCGTATTTTCCCCCCGCAAAGTATCGGTCTATTCCAATACCTTATACTCTTCAATCCATTAATTTTGTTTCTCGGAATTTCGATGTACATCACTCTATACTAGGCAAGCTATTCATCTCCATCCGTCATTTACTGCTTCGTTAGCTTCAAAAATACGAGGGAACAGAGTGATAGTACTCTCCACTGATCCCTGAAGAATTTTCTAAATTTTTACAAATCTATTTTGCTGAATGTTTAACTTGATATATCTTACTATAGTTTTCATATCTTGATAGGTTTATTTCTTCCGCATTACGATCGCTGACTTTTTATATACCTAAACGTGGATATGATGACCTTTTTATTTCTTGAAACAAAATTTCCCCCGTTTTTCGCAGCTTTGTGTAATAGCGAGTTGACAAACTCAAGTTTTATAAAGTGGAGAACATGCATATTGAACTTGCTGGAATTTTACGCACTGAGTAAAAAAGAAAGAAAAGAAATGGGTAATTGGTAATTTCTTTTTTTGAGAGGGGGGGGGGCATTGCCCCCATTGGCCCCCGCCCGGGTCCGCCGTTGCGTGTGTATGTCCCTTTTCACTGTGGCATCTTCATTGACAGAGCCAAGGTTTTTACCAATTTTTTTTTCAGTGTGACGTCGCAAAAAAGGCAGCCATGTTACGTACAGCATTAAATTTCAGCCACCATGCAATGATGCCATGAAGAGTCCTAGTGTTCCCTTGCTTTTCATATCGAATTTGGGGCGGAACATTTTGGACCCACTTTTTCGGGGAACAAAATAATGTTTGGCCCACCCGAAACAACCGCTGTGTTGTGGATTTGGCCTTATACAATGTGTGCGAGACCAGTACCGGTACTGAACGGTCGCGCTACGTGAAACGAATGGTTAATTGCAAGAAAAGAAACAAAAGAAGAATAGTTTGAGAGAGGGGTGATTCCTACATCGAGAGTGAAGTTGAATAGGCAATTCGGCGTAACAATGAACGCGCTAAAAAAAAAAAAATTAGGAACAGAGCGCGCTGTTAATAGTGTAACGCCCGATATTGGAAGAGAAAGTAAGGTGTGTTCGAATTCCTTGGTATACTGTAGCAATTGGAAAGAACTCTATTACCGAGTACATTGTTGAGTGACGATTACTTGTGGTGATACTCTCAGTCAATACAATTGAGGGCACTATGCAAGTTTAACGGTCAAGCCTACGCAGGTTTGGTTTAGGGTAAAAGTACGAAATGTAGTTCGAGCAAAATTAGCTGTTTCGGCGACGTAGCTTGCCGAAACAGCTCCTGCTAGTTACGTGTGTTCATATTTGGATTAGGATAGATAAAGGGGTTCTCTGTTGTTGTGATTAGAAAGAATGGTAAATGATTACATAATAATTGTACAGTGTGAGTGTGCAATGACGATCGGGTTGCGTGATTACTTTTAGTTGATTGAGGGCGCTATTCAAGTTTAACGGTTAAGCCTACGCGCAGTTTGATTTGGGAGTGCAACTTACGAAAAGTAGTCCGCTCAGAATTTGCTGTTTTGGTAACGAACTTCTCCGAAAGGTAAAACGCGTTTTTGGTAAAACGCGGAACTGTTATTATTGAAGGTCTTCCCGGGTGAATTTTCCCCAGGTTAAAAATCACAGGAGTTTTTGAGAATATAATACACTTATCCACATTAAAATTAAAACATTGCGATGATTTTTAATGTTGGTTCTGTAGCGATAAACATGCCCCTCCCACAGCATCGGACCCATTACACGTATCCCGTGCAGTAGGCCTATTTGCACACACAAAAAAACTGAATTGGTAAAACGCGGAACTCTTATTTGAAGGCCTTCCCGGGTGAATTTTCCCCAGAACAAAATCACAGGAGTTGTTGAAAATAAAATACACTTATCCACATTGTGATGATTTTTGATGTTGGCTATGTTGCCATAAAAATGCCCGCACAGCATCGGACCCATCACACGTATACTATACCGTGCATCCATTAGGCCTATTTGCACAAAAACCCGAGTTGGTAAAACGCGGAACTCTTATTATTGAAGGTCTTCCCGGGTGAATTTTCCCAAGAAAAAAAATCACAGGAGTTGTTGGGGATATAATACACTTATCCACATTAAAATTAAAACATTGTGATCATTTTTAATGTTGGTTATGTAGCGATAAAGATGCCCCCTCTCACAGCATCGGACCCATTATACAAGTGATGGATGCCCGTGCTTGATAACACATGGCCGGAACAAACCCCCTGAAAAAACTTGACTTGGTAAGATATGGACATAACATCTCATCTCATGTGTGAATTTTCCCCCAAAAATTCTCAAATAAATTGTTGGAGGATATACGACACTTGTCGACATGAAATGTTTGTAGTGGTAAACACACCACTTCCCCTTATACTTATAGCTAACGACAGTTGCACGCGCAACTGAACACTGGATTTGTAAACGGTATTTATCCTTTTACAGCATGTGTTCTGCGGTCATAGCGTCAACACAGCGTCAACACAGCGTCAACACACGCAGAAGTACTACGACCCCTCGTAATTTGAAGGGTAATTTTAGGACTAATTTATGAATATGAGATCTGAACGTCAGTCTATTTTCCAATTGAGTATTTTGTCTTTGTTCAGTGTATGGCCCCACCCCCCAAAAAAATATTCAGTCTCTGGTCAGACCAAAGTTCCGGAATTGATGATGGGGGGATGCGGCTTTTTTTTTTTTTTTTGGCCTTTTTTTGAGGAGGTGCGGCAATAGAGGGCGCTGTTGGAGCTACCGCGGAACATTTTGGGGAAAAAAAAAGATTGACGTGCATGATTAAAATCGACGCGCGCGCTGACCAGAGACCTTATTTTTGGGGGGGGCCTAATCTCCATTTGTTTGCTGAGTTCCGCAGAGTTCCACACGTTCTGCAAGTTCCGCAAAATACCTGGGCGCTCCAAAATTACAACTTCCTTTCCAACTCACTGTTGCAACTTGCATGCATGACCATGATGACTGTGTCCGGAAACTAGGCAGAACACGGAATGTCGACCGCGACCGAGAGGAGACTCCGACCACTTGCTTATAATTATATGACAACTAGTTACCATGAGCACAAACCTTGGGTTTGACTGGTCATGTTATCCTCCAAAAAAAGCTACGAGGTCCTATTTCATCTTTCACCTTTCATTTGTGTTTGGCGATCAAAATCGGTAGCAAAATCACTATATCAGTTTTTAGTGTTTAGGGGAGCATCGACCGTCTGGCCGAGAGCTTGCGATAATACTGTATGGCCGGCCAGAGGCAGTTGGGCAACGATTATGGCAGTGCTGGTTTTCCTTATCCAGGCGAATTCTCCCCCTTTCAATAACAACGCCGCGCTAGCCTCCTGAGTCATATAGAAACACTCGGAATCTATCGTTTTTTTAATACGCCACTATTACATGACCCGTTATTTTTCGTGGAAGGTAAGTACTTATGAAGCTTTCTGTGAATTCACTCGAGTGTAGAATCTGGCTGGCATTGCCAAGAAATTTGTGGGGGGGAAAAACGAGCTCAACACAACAAACGCAAACAATGCTTGATTTTCCGAAAGGTCACGTACGGACTATGCTGGTACTCCTGGGTCCTGTACGTGTGAAATGGTAGGAGAAGCCTCCAGGGTACCTGTTTGCTCCATCACACGCCATTATTTCTGGGCAATGCCAGATCCAACGATCTCATTGCGCATGAATTCACAGAAAGCTTCATAATGCACTTAACATCCACGAAATATAACACGTCGCGTAATGGCGTATAAAAAAACCCAAATATTGCGAGTGTTTCTACGCGACTCGGGAGCGTAGCGTTGTTATTGACGTCACGTTTACGGGTCTAAGGTACTTCTTGTCCAAACAAAAACATGTCCTTCTTTTGATCCTAAATAACTCTGTTGTTTACCAATGGAATTAAACCAAAATCATGTAAACAAGGCATGACAAATTTTATGGAGCGAGTTTCTGAAAGATTTCCATACGAAGTTCACTCAACACCCTGTGTACAAACCCTATGAGATTGGACTGAAAAATTCTAAGTGTTTTCTAAGAAAATGTTTGTATTTTCTCACTGCTCAAATTGACTTTGATGACATGAAATTGCTATCTGGGGGCTTGTTAGTCAATACAGAGGAAAATTAGTGAACTTTGCATATGGTAATCTTGCCCGAGTTTCATTAGCTTTGCCTTTTTTTGGGCCATTTGTGTACTTGGGGATCAGTTTTATGTCTTGCTCAATTTGCCCTGTCCCCGTTGTCAGAAAGCATTGCAATCATACCGTGTATTCTGTGCTCAATCCTGGTATGAGGTTTCTAAATTATCATAATATAAGTTTGCATAACATCAGTTAGTACATACTTAATCGAATTATAAATCCGTCTCTTTATTCAGACATCTCAACAGATCCAACATATGAGGGCTGTTTCAGGGAGGACCCATCTCACAGGGAGTTTGTCGTCGCCGGCGGCAACCATGACTTCAACGATGTCAACCCTAAACTCTGCAAGGCGCTGTGTAAATCCATGGACTATCCCTACGCTGCGCTGCAGAGGGGCTTCATGTGCCTGTGCGGGGAATCCACCGGTGCCCACAGTAACGGGTCCCAGTATGGCTGTAACCTGAGATGCGCCGGTAACCCAACTGACTTGTGTGGAGGGTTGGAGTACAGTAGTGTGTACAGTACAGTGACGTCCGTCAAAGGCATTGCTATAGTTGATTCAGGTAGGTCGCTGATAAGTTTTGCATAAGTTGCAACCATGATTGACAAGAGTACTTTCCAAAATCCCATATTTTAACCAAAAAACGGAACGGCGTACTTCCATTACCTGAGATTCAAACGACCTACATGTATACCAATGCATGGGGAATTCTGTTAAAAGAAGAATGATACCAAGATCGCCCGATTCATTCCAGTAGTTTTTGTTCTAGAGCCTATTTTGTGAAACAAAGTCGGGAGTCATTTTGTCACGATGAATTACTAAACCGCGTCCGCAAAATTTGACTTAATTGGATGGAGGGATTATTTGTTATGTAATAATACCCACATGAAAGATGTGTGCTTCACAAAATAGGCTCTGCAGCAAAAACTGCTGGACCGAATCGGGAGATCTTGGTATCATATTTCTGATAAAAAGATTCTCCATCCATTAATACAGTTGGTTTGAATCTTAAGTTAGTGGAAGTATGCCGTTACGTTTTTTGGGGGCCACCCTGTTCATGTGATTCTTGTAGTATATTTGAATTTTCATTGTTTTTGCAAAGATGGTAAGTCTCCCTCCAATTTTTTTTTTTTTTTACATTTCTTAACATAAGAATGTTTTTGTTAAAAGGAATATTTTCTGGTCTCACTCCTCAACATTTTTTTTCTAGGAAGTGAGAAAAGAATATTTTTTTCTTGAAATGAGAAAAAAATTGTAATTTTAAGACAACCATTTTTGGCAGCTTAGGAAAACTGGTCGTGTGCCTGCAGGTGTGTTTTGATTGCTCTGACTTTAGTAGTCCTACTTATTAACTGAGTAATCAATCGTTGCTTTTTCTTCTTCAACAACAAAGGTTACGTCGAAGTTTTCCAGGAGACCGTCATTGGGACAACTCTAGAAGCTGGATCTGATAGCGCTGTGTACAGGTTCGACTTTGGAGATGACACCGGCATTGCCAATGAGACCGTTGGTCCGCAGCCTCATGTGTTCTCTGATGTCGGTGTGTACCTGGTCCAAGCTTGGGTGGAGAATGATGCATCGGGGCCTCTTGAGGCTCGTAAGGAGGTCTATGTTGAGGCACCTATATCAGGCAAGTTTTGGTCTACATTAAGTGTGTCAGGATCTTGTGGGTGTTGTGGCTGAGTGTTGTGGCTAGATTTCTGAGTCGTATGTTTAAGAAGTTCTGATGAGTACAACCACATGCTGATTGAATGTACAGAGCGTGGCAAAAATGTGCAAAATTCAGAAAACAAACAATTAAAACTGTTAAATCATTTTTCTTTAGTGAAATTCTATATTAGGCCAAAAAAAGAAAGTCTCCGGTTTCTGGTATGCGCGCGCGTCGCCGTAGCCATGCGCGTTGGCAAAATGAAAACTTTTTTTTTTTCAATAAAAGATGATGTCTCAAAACCGCCAAACTCACTGGTTTGACTGGAATCCTGCTGCTGCACAATTTTAACGTGTTTTTAGATGGGGTTATGATCGAGAATAAGCTTTATGTGGCCTCTCTGGACTCCCATATACATAGCTGCCAACTAGTACGATTTTTTCGTAATTATTACGAATTGTTTGTTAAATTACGAAAATACGATTTGCCACTAAAACATTACGAATTTCCCATTTTCTACCTATCGAGAAAAAAAAAATACTTGTAAAGTATCGTTTTTGACCGAAAACTTCTGGCGAAATGTCGCGATAATGGATGGACTGGTGACAAATCTAATAAGAATGCAGTCAAGCACCTGATAGACATCAATGCAGTGTGCGCAGTTGAGTAATTGAGGACCAGACTAAAAATATTTTTCAATGGTGTGTCATTTGTGTGCATCTCGTGGATGTGTGGTTGTGTGTACTGTATGTGAGTACTTTTCAGTGACGATCGTGAGCACATTTAGTCGCTTATTGCCGGGATGAGACCCATCAGTGCGAGATTTTAATCATGGAATTTAATAAGAGTATGGTTGGAATAATTGGTAATAGAGTTTGAGTTTGTCACAACGTCCAGAAAAGATAAATCAGCATGCGTTTGCAAGTCATGTTGGGGGGATATTTCTATTACATACGGTGGCCCTAAATCATTGTGTGTAAAAACATGATACGAACGTGAAACTCCACATCGATAGCATGCATCTCAAAAAACATATGCGCACATGTTATTGTTGTTATTATTTATTTGACTTCAACAAACAATACAGACATTAAAACAAAATGAATTTTAAAAAAAAATAAAAAAAAAAATTTAATTTTTTTTTTTTCAATTTTTTTTTTTTTTTTTAAATAATCTTTTGGCCTACAGTACATTATTATTCACAACAAGAAGGGTATGCACATGTATGTGTACATGAAACCATGTACTTGTACTCGATGTTGGTAAAGCTATTGATTAAAACGAGAAGTTGAAAATGACCGCGCGGGTTGATTACTAATTGGGATTTTGAAAAGTTGGCAGCTATGCATATATTTGCACTAAGTTTAGTTGGGCGCCATTTGCAGTCATCAGCCGACATTTGAAGCAAAAAAAAAACGGGTAAAAAAAAAAAAAAGCCGCGTTGCCGCACCACTTTTTGGGCAAGCTCCATACCAGAAACCGGAGACTTTTTTTTTTTGGCCTTACATTAAAGCCTGACTATTTCTCAATCCACTCCTTTTTATCCCATTCCATTTGGGTCCCTAAATCCAGAAATACAATCTATTAAGTGAAAGGGTGTACATTTCACTTGGACCACTCTCACCAATGATGTCACCAGCTCCAATGTCGATTCAATAAACGCAGATTCACATGGTGTATGTACTGTGTATACACAGCTCATGCAATACCGGCTCATCATGTTCCTATATGATTTGCTGGCAAGGTTTTCTGTGAACTCCATCGATGTCCTTTACGACATGATTTAACCGTGATCTCGGGTGGGCCTTCCACGCTGACTATCGGAGAAAACTTAATAAAATTAAAGGATACTCAATGCTTGCAAATTACAACACAAATATGTTGTGAAGTGACAATTGTTGAAGTTTTTGAAAGGTTTTTCTCTCTCTATAATCATGGATAAAATGCCATTAAGCTCCCGCGTAAGCTATGAAAATACACAGATAAAGTGTAGCATAATCCTGCTCATCAGAATATAGGCTACAACATAGTGTGAATTCTTTGTGAATAGTTGTTGTTCTTTTACCCCTACTTGGCCATAGATCTGTGGGCAGCCTGTCATCCTTTCGTTGAGGTGGGTTTCCCCTTTGAGTGCACAGGCAGTGCCGGACAGGGTAACAACATGGATGTCAACTGGAACTTCAATGATGAATCCGAGGAGGTTCATATGAAAGTCGCAGGTAAGGCTAAGTCCAAATTGATTGGCTATGACCGGCAGTAACACATACAAGTCTATGGGAATTGGATTCAGCCGCTTCCGTAGACACATGTTAAGTAGCTAGCCGTAGCCATGTAATTCAGCTGCAGCCAAATACTCACTCACATTTGAGACATTATTCCAACTCAGTACTTGAGGCCATCCATTGTCAAACAGAAAAACCCCCAAAATTATTCAAATTATTGTTTGTATCATCTAGACTAAAAGTCTAATCTAGACATTTTCTTTTTTATTGTTTAACCTTTCAGTCACCACATGTTCTCGTTGTATAGTGATGTATACCTTTTGCATTACTTAAATGACAAAATTCTACGATTCTTTTCTCTAATGTGGAAATATCAAACAGTATCATACATAAACTGGTTCTGTAATATCGCTATCTCATAAACTGTATGAGGTAGTTTTCCCAGAGTTTGAAATGGTTGAAGATGCTTGCCATCTGTGGCCATTATGTGCATTTTCAGTCCGGACTTTTAGCCGTTATGGTCAAGCAAGGATTAAAGTATTTAACTGTTATTTAAGTATTTTTGGTGTAAGCCTTTGGTGTAAGCAAATTTGGTTCTCACAGGCTGTCAGAAAGTCCAAAAAATCCACAAAAAAACCCAAACTTTCAGTTGAGTTGATGGTAAATGGTAAACCCGATCTCACTCATTTACCTGTAGATGCTCAGCGGTTCTCAGTTGGTAGGCCCATCCCACGACGCCTAGTCTCCATTCAGCCGTCATTAGATCTCCAAGGTGTGTTTCTGATACCAGCACTGGAGTTCAGACAGGAGGCTAAGCTGGAAGCTTGGGAGGTCTTTGCTGTCAGAGAAGGCCAAGTCAAACTGCAGGTTTGCTGATAGTTTCACAGTTTTGAAAGTAACAGCTTAAGATGATACTTTTTACGTCATGCTGATATACAACTACTTTGTTTCTGATGAATCTTTTTTGGGGGCATCATGACAAGAATGTTTTTGGATAGTTGGTTTACTTTTTGGAACATAGTTGTCTTGTTAACTACATTTTTAAAACGGCAGCATCATGGTCAGATGACATCATGACAAGACTTAAATTGACTCAAGGTCTTGCAATTTGACTAGACTTGTCCTGTTTTTATAATAACTCTTCGTTAACAAACAAAAATTACAGTTCTCAATTTTTCCCCCTTTGCTAGGTTTATCGGCCACTGTGTGGCGAGAATGAGAAGTACTGTGCCTTCAACAGGACCTGCCTAAACAGATACTATCCCTGCCCACCGTACACTGAGACACCGTGCCTCAACCACACTGCATTCTGCCTGGAGGCCGGCACATGCCAGCCGTTTCAAACCACCTACTACTTTGCAGAATCTAACACCACCTACACCCTTGCCCCCTGTCAGAACCAGACACTGGTCACTGCTAATGCAAACAGAAATGAAACCAACGGAACAAACTCTTCCGATATCCCAGTTCAGATGTGTAACTACTCGGTTCCCTACGTTAGGGTGCCAGAGCACACCTTTGGCTCGTGCTCTTACCAAGATGTCCAACGTGAAATGAAACTGCCGTATCAGGTAGTTGGGCAGACCGTCGTCTACTTAAAAGAAGGATATAACATTTTCACTGTCAACGCATCCGAGCGCTATTCAGTCAGACCCCGTGACTGGGTGGGGTTCGGCCCGTATCAGCAAGAGTTTCCTGACTACTACCGCAAAGCAGCCTATCCGCTCATTGGGGAGATTGCCCACTATCCAACAGATAATGAGACGGCTTTCTTCAAGGAGCAAGGGCTGTTGTCCTCGGAGAGAGAGGTCAGAAGGGGTGATGTTGAGATGTTGGAGGTAGCATTCTACATCAGAGCTCACATCTCAAAATCTACCACCTCCTGGGTCTCCCACATCTTCAGTAACTCCGGAATGTTTGAGATTAACGCAAAATACAACAACCGGCTGGGCAGGGAGGTTGGAGCACCTCCCCAGTGGATTGCATCACAGTACCGTATCCTTTCCATCCAGGGTCTTCACTTCACACGGGATCTTGGCATCTACTACGCCTGCACTGATGCCGCCTACACCATGCACGTCGAGATCACCCAAGGTACTTATGTCAGATTCAAGTGGACTTTTCCAGACGGATCAGTCAACACAAGCCTGCCCTTCCTGACCAACGGGGTCCAGGATGGACCGAACGTCAAAACAGCCGACTCCCAGGGCTATCTCTTTGCCGAAATTGGCAATTACACCACCCATGTCAAGGCGTACAACAACGTCAGTTTTGTAGACATTGTCCTATCCACGATAGCCAGATATCGAATCACCGGGCTAAATGGGACGGTTGAGTTGTACCCTGGAGACAACACCACAAAAGACTGGAACTTGATTCTGTCTGGCTGTTGGTTCAACTACAGCTCCTTCATTCTGACTGGTAACGTGGTTCAGTATCGATGGAACCATGGAGATGGGAGCACAACAGGCAGCTGGAGCTTCGACACTGTTCATGATCACTACTACGCCAGTCCTGGTGTGTACTCAGTCTACATTGAGGCCGACAACATTGCCAGCACATTAGACCACACCTTCGAGGTGACTGCCGTCAAACCAAACTACGTCCGAGCACCGGCGTACACAACCAGTGAGGTAGCCACCCTGTTTTTCTGTGCGGTCACATGGCACTCAGGTCAAGGCCTGACATTCAGCTGGGATTTTGGTGACGGTGCTTCAACCATCATTGAAAACACAGGCTATGTTTGGCACAACTACTCCACATTTAGCACCTACCAAGTACAGTGCGTCATTAGTAACTACCCAGCCGTGTCTGATACCACACCGATCATTGTACAGGATCCTGTTGAAGGAGTGGTGCTGCATAACAAGACAGAGGTGCTTGCGACGGGTGATACCGTGGACTTCACAGTCTCTTGGTCCAGGGGTAATGACGTTCACTTTGACTGGTACTTTGGCGACAGTGGCCAAGACTCCACCACCACACCGTCAGTGCAGTACACCTACGCAAAGATCGGCTACTACAATGTGACCGTTAATGTCTCCAATGTAGTGTCTTGGATGATATCAGAGGCTATCATCGTCGAACTCCAGGAGCGCGTCACTAACGTCCAAGTGACCGCCAGCGACAACCTCATCCTTCATCCCGTGGAGGCGAGCGTGACCACAGACACAGGCAACAAAATCTGGTATGACTATGACTTTGGGGACTCGTTCAATGCCATCCGTGTACCAGACACGAGCTGCTCTCATTCTTACAGCCTTCCTGATACCTTCACCGTCACCGTCCGAGCGTACAACAATGTGAGCGACGAGTCAGCAACGACGTCCATTCAGATTGACGCCAGCATTTCCAATGCCGTCCTGTACCTAACAAGCCCACACATTCGAGCCAATGTCTTAGAAGCAACGTGTGTGGCCAACAACGGCAGCAGTGTCACAATAACATTTGATTGGGGTGACGGCACGGTGTCGGAACCATTTGTTGGGATCTATGACGGCGAAGGATCCTATTACATTGGTAAGCAATTGGGCTTCCAAGTACTAAAATCGTAACACGAGGCATTGGTTTAAATAGCCTGGATTTGTGAATACGTCCAGTAATTATCTTGAAAAATAGAATTAGCTGTTGTAAACTGCTTACCAACCAAAAGGACCTATGGTATAAATGCAAAAAAATAGTTAGTGGCCTGACGTTTCGACCCTAGCAGAGTCTTTCTCGAAGGCTAAAATTTTAGCCTTCGAGAAAGACTCTGCTAGGGTCGAAACATCAGGCCACTAACTATTTTTTTGCAGTAATTATCTTCACAAGTTTTATGTCGACCAGATTCAATTTAAATGTCTACATTTCAATGAACTGAAACGCTGGATAGATATTACCAAAAATGAGACAAGGAGAACTTTGGAGTAAAGGTGCTGACTGCAACAGAGGCACCATGCAGTAGATTATCCAGACCTGCATAGGCCAATGCTCGCACTTTTTCTGGACAAACTTGTCCCTTAAATAATTCATCCGGTAAAAAGCCAATTTGGTTTAGCCAAACTGTCTGCCGAAAGTATGGTCTCAAAAAGTGCTTCAATATATCAAAAGCTTGCTATGATTATTATCTTTATTATTTATTTCTGGTAATGAAACCAAGGATTCCTTAAAAGAGCCTTAGGCACTGTAGTTCGCAGCCTGAAGAGACCTGTTATGTAGAGAGAGGACAGTGAGAAGAAATTACAGTTTTAGAGGTGGGAGGAAAACCCCAGAAGAATATTCAGGGGGATAACCCACGGAATCAGGTAGGGACTGAAAACCCAATCCACATGTTGGCCCAGGTGGGATTCAAAACCCGGTTCACAGCGATGGAAGACAAGGAAAATACCGTTAACGCCAACCTGGCTCCCCAAGTGCTTGTATTGCCCCTTCTAGTTGTTCCCGTTGTATACCCCTTCCAGGAACCCATACTTATTCAACTGAAGGCACGTTCAACATCACGTGCTACGTTGAGAACCCTTGGGCAGATGCTGTTGGATTTCATGAAGTCATTGTCCAGGAGGCCATAGTGGCACTCCGATTTGAGCCTGAAGTAGCTGTTAAAGGTGAGAAACTAATAGTTGAAGTTCCGACGTTCGGTCTGGTCGAGCTTGATTTAAAAAAAAAATGTAAACAGCTTTTCTCTCTGTTGTTGGCTGTAATGATTAATACATTTGCAACACATAGACCTAAGGACAGTGGATCTGTATCACATTGACATGCTTGAGTAAACCTTTTGTGCATCCATTGTTACTATTAGAAACTAAAAACACCTTCTGAGATACCCAAAAATGCATAATGCTTCGCCCCCTCGTGTCTTTGCTCGGAATTCAAAAAACAAAAACTGCAATTCATGTTTATGTGACAACATGGCACTTTCCATTTTTTAACCCCTCGTTTTTTCAAAGTGGCCGCCAAAAATGAACAAAACCCCAACAGAAATTTTGAAAACATGTAAATCTGTAAATTGGACCTACATGTACTAAGTATTCCAAAACCGCTTTCAGATCACTTCTAGGTATTAAGAAAACACCTGACGACATAAGGACCCCTACTTTAAGGTTTGTTAGTGGACTGTATCAGTTCATAATATCAAACACTTAATTTGAACACATAATAATTAGCTGTTATGGATTTGAACATCTTGATTATTCTGCCTTCTCACAATTTTTGTGACTCCCTATCACACCTTGCCTGTTTAATTTTAAATCTCTTCATTACGTAATAAGCAAAGATCTAAGTCTCCAATTCTTTATTTCACATTCAAATCTCAAACCGGCTATGCTCTTTTGCGACAGGTGAAATATTTGAGTTCATAGTAGCGCCCTTCGTCGGTGACAGCCACGATGTTCTCTTTTACTGGGATTACGACGATGAATTCAAGTTCAGAACTGATGCCTTCACTCATCAGTACGTCTTCCGAGAAGCTGGTAAATCTAATGGAATAAAAGCCCTTCGTTACAGTTGTGTCTATCGCAGGTCGAGGTCACAAGTAAATCACAAATCCAGACACAAGTTCAGTAACACAAGTCGTTGGGGATGAACATTGTCTCAGGAATGCTTTTGCCACAGTTCATTTGAAAAGCTTGTGACTTAGGACTGGATGACGTGTGATCGACCTGAGACTTGTGGTGGATGAGAATTGTAGGTTTGCATGCTGGACGTGAAGAAAGTATGGACGTTTTGTAGTTACGTACACCATGTGAATTTTATCTCTTTCGAGTTGTGCGGTTCTGAGAAGAACTAGTTGTTTTAACTTGACGTTTCAATTAGTGTTCTCTGTTCATCATTAGGAGGCTGTGTTGGACTTAGCTAAAACACTGCAAAACAGTACTTCTGTTTTGTCGTTTAATATATCGTAGCAGTTGAACATTTTAATTGATAAAGATATTCACTGAGAGCAAAGAGCTCATAAGTGTTTGTTCCAAAGTATATTAATAACCTTCACTGTACCTGTAAAGGTATTGATATTTAATGAGGATCACACATGCCATATCAGCCTTGGAATCTAATGTGTTCAGGTTTTTTTCAAGAATTTAAACTTTTAGTAAATATCCAGACTTCGAACTATCACCCTCTTTGCTTGAAAATGCAATACACAACCGTCATCTCTGAAATCATTTACACTCTCCTGTTCTCTGGAAGAAAAAGAACAATCCACTTTTCGGAATGACAAGACAACTAAACTTTGATCGGCTTGTAGGTCTGTACCAGGTGACGGTGCGCGCCGAGAATCTTGTCAGCGAGTTTTCCACCACCCAAGACGTCTACGTCCAAGAGCACATTGAGGGACTGAGACTCCTGGCTGAGGTGTACCCTGTCATGCCAAGCCAACCCTCCATCGTCGCCTGGGAGATTGAGTATGGGACTGAAGTGCTGTACACTGTGGATATGGGTGAGCAAAGAAAGTTCCAAGGAAAGGGTTTAGTGAACTTTGCTTCTGTGGATCCGTATATGTAGTTGCTAAATTTGTGAACAAAAAAATTAAAATTTGCATGATTGAGGATTTGCTTAATAGGGAGGAGTAACATTTAATAATGGATTTTGCTCTTCTCACCAATGTGTCACCCAAATCATATATTTGAGGCTTTCTGGCAAAATGTGACTTAACTTCGGCAGAGGTCGAATAAGAGTTTGATGATAGTAGGAAAGAGATCAAATTTAGAATTCTCCCTACAATAATGCTTGTTGCACTTCAATTTGACATTTTGTTGACAATTTGATCTACATGCCAAAAAGAAAATTACCGAGAACATTACCCCTTAAAGTTTGCACTGTTTTCTAGCTGTGCACATGAAAGATGCCAAATATTTTCCCTTAAAATTTTTATTCCACGATTTTATGTACTGTTTAATGAAAATATGTGTAGTGTTCATATCAAAGATTACAAATATCAATCAATCTGAAAATCGAAAAAACATCATCACCCCCGTAAATTTGTTTGCATTTTTCTCTTCTACAGCCTTTACTCACTTCCGTCTCATTTTGCCAGAACACCTCATATATTACATACATTACATCGTCGTAAATAACTTTGATGAAAAGCAAAACCCGATAATAAAACAAGATGTGTATTTTGATGCAGGTGATGGTACAGAGCCCCAAGTCTTTGAGCAGAGTAGCGTTGGTAAGATGTGGTCTCTGGACTACACCTACACCGAACCAGGCTCCTACCTGATCACCGTCACCGCATCCAACAAACTGAACTCACTCAACGTATCGACCATCGCCTACATCGAGTACGCCATCGAAGGCCTCAGGGCATACACCCGTGGAAACAAAACCACCCACACGGACCAATCTGCCTACATCATCATCGAGATCGAGCGGGGTACCAATGTGGAGTACATCTGTGACTATCACGATGGTTCCCCGCCCATCGCAACCACCAAGCAGTACTGCAAGCATATGTTCATTGATCTGGGACACCATCTTGTGACCGTCTCAGCGAGCAACCATCTCAGCGCTGCCTCGGTCCAAGCCAACGACACCTACTATGTCCTTCTCCCACCGATTCCGCATGAGATCAAAGAACTGGCCATCGGCGCTCCGTCTGCTACCATACGTGGCCAGATGACAGTGTTCCGTTTACAGCGCTACCGGGGCAACCGTTTCAATTGCACCTGGGATTTTGGCGATAACTCCACCATCTTGGACTTGGATCAATATTTTGTGTACATTCCCATCAACCACACCTACGACCGGATAGGAGAATATGAGATACAGCTCAACTGCACCAACTTCTTCCATCCGTTCGTTTATGCCTCCTCCAAGATAGTTGTGCAGGTCCCGCCGAGAGGTCTGAACTTAACCAGCAGGAGGGTCGGCCAGTATGGGAAGGACCTGGAAGTGAACATAACCCTGGAGGCCGGAACCGATGTCGCCGCAAATGTTGAATTTAACGAAGGTAGATATTCTATTATCATGCAGGAGTTAGATGGCTATGTTGCCATACCGGGAGAGCATGTCAACGTTTCAGGTTGGTTAGATGTGATCATCACTGCTGAGAATCTTGTCCCACCGGTACTCACCTTGCAAGACAGGATTTATGTAGAGGCTGAGATTTCAGGCCTGGAGGTGTGGGCCGAGAAGCCGTATGTAGCCGTTGGGGAAGTTGTTACTTTACACGTGTCTCTAGCCACGGGTACCAACGTTGTCCTGGAATGGTATTTTGGAACTAACTACTTACTCACTTCCCAAATCAATTCCACAAGAACTATCCTGACTGACACCAAGCAGCATTTCTATCCATCCTTGGGTCTCTATGCTGCTTTCATCATTGCCACCAATGAAATTGGCACTAAGACACACACCCCAGTTCTAATAGCCGTTCAAGAGAAGGTTCGTGGTTTCAGCATGACGGCGATCACCCCAGTTAAGTACCCTGATGGTCAGATCACTTTCAATATCTTCTGGGACACTCGGATCCAGAAACTACCGACAAACGCCAGCATCACTTTTGAGTCTGGCGAGCCGATGAATCTTCAATCCACTGTAGAACTTGGAAGCCTTGAGATCATCACCTGGATCCAGCACAATCTGACTGTAGGGAGTGACTGCAATAATCCAGATGAGGCAAACATCAACCCACTCTGCAATGCCAGCTTCACAAGCACTTATATGACCGATGCTAAAGTGAGAATTTTCACCATTGTCCATGCCTACACTCCAGGGAAATACTCGGCAATTGTGTCGGTCCACAATCTTGCCAGTGAGCAGGTTTTCCCAAAAGAGGTTCAGACCGAAGAGCCCATCGTCAACTGTAGCATAACAGTCCATAACGTTGACAGGCTGAACGTGAAGTTCGGAACGGAAGGCGGTGGCCCGGAGCAGAATTATTTCCCTGTGGAATTTCCCGTTCTTTTCCAAGCCCGTGTGAGCCAAGGGACCGCTGTCATGTATTTGTGGCGATTTGGCGACGGTGCTACCTCATCAAGCATGGACACTGAACACCAATATGAAAACGCTGGAAGCTTCACTGTCCGCTTGATCACCATGAACATCTTTGGTGTCGAGGATTCCTTCGAGACAGTTCACATACAAGAGAGCGTGATAGGCCTCTTTGCTGCCCACACAGGACCTGTAGCACGCCGCAGACAAATCACCGTCATCATCTTTGCCGCCCAGCCTGGAACCGATGCAGCCTACGCTCTCCAGATCAACAATCAAAGCGATTCTCACCTGTTAGATGCACCTGTCAATGACGCTATCACTATCGCATCGGCGTTAGAAATTATGAACCCCAGCATCTTTCTCCCTTTCGATCCCTTCACGCATTTTATCACCACTTACAACCTCACCTTCAATCTTTCGGGAAACTATGAAGTCACAGTAACAGGCACCAACTTTGCCTCTTCTCTCAGCATCACAACCATCCTCCCAGTCACTGAAGATTCTTGTCAACTTCCCCAAGTTCTCATCCGAGGTGGAAGCAAGAATGCCTCTGAGCCCTGGCAGGTCAAACGAAACCGACTCATAACTCTGGTCTCTGAAGTAAAGCTAGACTGTTCGTCCACCACCAGGGCCCTCTTTCACTGGGACACCTACATCGTGTCCTACTTCAACAACAGACCGCTTCCGGCCAACCAACTCTTTGGCTATCCTCTACCCGAGACCATCAAGACCACTGAGGCAGACCTCGTGATCCCACGTCGTACCTTAGACTACAACACCTACCTGGTCCAGTTGACAGTGACGATGAACAACAACGCTCGCGTCTTGAATCAGAACCAGACCTACTTGGAGGTTGTACCATCTGACCTGGTCGTCAGCATACTGGGTGGCAGTGCAGTATCTATCAGCTGGAATGATACCACCATCTCATTGGATGCCTCAATGTCCTTTGACCCTGATGACTTGTACATCTCTGAAAATGAGACTACTGAATCTAGCCGGCTGATGTTCACATGGTACTGCAAACTATCGGACGAGGTTTTCAGTTTTGAAGAGGGCTTTGTAGCTCCAGATCCAAGTGGTAAGTTTTTACATTTGATTTAGTAATTAAATTTGTTAACAACAAATTGAATATTTTGTAATGAAAAGTTACAGGTAACACTTACCATTTGATATGAGATACTGTTCAAGTACCACTGAGAAACTATTCCGTGATGTTGCACAGTACTTGTAAGCTGTCAATGTATTGCATTCTCAAAGTGTTATTGAAGATGAGTTTAGAATAAATCCTCCCTCTTAAAAATACACCAGTGATGATTGCAATGCAGCTCTGAATTTTAAAGTTGGAAATGAAGACAAACGTCTAAATAATTTCTCATTAAGTCTTGAATAAGTTTTCTGTATAGTCTCATACGAGCACTTCGGACGATCATCTCTAAGGCCCAAAAAAAAATAATAATCGGTCTCTGGTCAGACCGAAGTTCCGGAATTGATGCGGGGACGCGTTTTTTTTTTTTTTTTTTTTTTGGTGGCTTTTTTTTTTTTTCAAGCTTCAATTGTACAGACAAGGTGGGTACTATTTTGCTTTTTTGTGTCCTCATTATACATTGATGTCCTCCATCATTTGCCTTGGTGCCCTTTATCATTTGCCTTGGTGCAATTTCCCCATTCCTTGGTGCTCCTTGGTACAAAAATTTGAGGAGGTGCAGCAATAGAGGGCGCTGTTGTAGCTTCCGTGTTAATTTGAAGAAAAAAAAAGGTTGACGCACGCGCTGACCAGAGACCAAGTATTTTTTTTTTTTGGCCCACTCTCAGAATGATGTCCAAACCAAAAGCATCTTTTTTATCGAAATCTGTAATCTTGTCCTTGCCATGCAGCGTCAGGTTGCTTCGGCAGTGGGCCAGACACATCTGTAGCCATGGGAATCACATCCTATAATGTCCTGTTAGAGACTCTCATCAGGAGCAGTCAGTATGTCTTTGCAGTAGTTGGAAGCAAAGAGGGAAGATCCTCACAGTACTTCTTGCAAACTGTCACCGTTGTTGAAGGAGAACCGCCAAAACTCAAAATCAGGTATAAACACTTCTTATTTCTGTTGGAGTACATAGTTTCGAACCTTGTATGAAATGAACACATGAAGTTCGTGCAATTTTAGTGCTAAAAACTAGTGTGAAGACGAACATTAAGAACAAAATCAAGTGTATGTTTTTACTTTTAATAGTTCTTCATCTGTCATTATTTATATTATAGGAGGAATTTTTACAAATGAAATTTCAACAACACTATTCGTTTTGAAGTATGGCAGATGCAAGAGGAGGGCACCATTTTAAGTGGTTAAATTTGTGTAAATACAAAAGAATTGACCCACTCCAAATATAGCGCCCTCTTTTGTGTCCGCTATATTTCAAAATGGCTAATCCGGTCACACAGGTACCCGGCATCAATAAGTAAGGCACCAGGACACAAGTGGTCCCCTGGCTAAGTTCCAACTTACATAAGAATATTGCTATACAAAAAATACATTATAGCAAGTAGGACTGAAAGGTGATGGGCTGAAGTAATGAGACCCATCTCAGACTGGCATTCTAGAGTCAAATGGAACAAAATATTTCCCTAGGATTTTAACTTACTTGAAACGTATGAAACAATTTTGAGCGATTCTGCGAAAGCTAGATTGTTGCAGTGCCCAGAACAACTTCAATGTTTAATCAATTGACAAAGAATTGCCTGAATTCCTCTTGTCTGAAACAGTCTATTTGGGTCAACTATAGCAATTCAAAATATTTAGTTTAGTGTCCTCTCTGTACCTATCAAAGTTTGACTGACTGACTGACTGACTAACTGACTGATTGTTACTTGTCTAGGCTTGCCTAGTCTTGTTTTTGATTCACTCTGAAACGGATGTTACTAATTCATCCCATCGCCTTCTCTGTCTTTCTGTCTGACCACCCCTCCCCCCCAGGTGTGTACGCAACTGTGGCACCAAGATCAACCCCCAGAAGCAGCTGGCCTTGGCAGTGGAGTGCTCTAACTGTGGCAACCAGACCGACGATCTCCAATACACCTGGAACGTCACTGGTCTTGAAGATGGCGCGTCTGAATCAGGCTTTGAAATAACCAAAGACACAGTCACAGGTATTCGGAAATTTTGACAGAATTTGTTATTGCCCAGTAGCATATTTTCAGAATATTACGTATGCTCAATTTCACTTTTTGAATCATCCTCTTTTTTTTTTACTTCCTTAGGAGGCAACAGTCCGTACCTCGTCATCAAGTCCACCATCTTTCTTCAACATCTGTCCGCCAGGTTTTCTGTCACCATCAGCGTACTCCACTCACTATCCAGAGAAGCAGGCTACTCGGAGTATCATTATGAAAGCGGCGGCGTCCCAACCCAAGGAGTTTGCAGCATCTCACCCCGAGAGGGCACAGCACTGAGCACAGAGTTCATCATCACGTGCACAGGTATGGCCTCCCAGACCCCCCACCCCACCCCCCCAAAAAAAAATTAATAATAATAATAATAATTACCCTGGGATTGGACATTTGGGAGACATCCCCATATACTTGTGCACACAATTTTTTCAAACTTAAATGTGCCCTAACCCAATATTCCCTTGATCTTTTTCCACAGATTTCGATATATTTACTTATTAGACCACGAGCAACAAATATCATCTAATTGCGACGGTAAAATTGTGCCTCTAAACTGGGGCTGTGACATTAGGGAGACATGAAAATGTCTCCCTAATGACCGATGTCTCCCATCGTGCGAAGAAATTACGATAACGTGTCTCCTTAATGGTACCATTACACGTATAATACACACAACTTAGTGTATTTTGCACAGGTGTGCAGAAACTTGCATCATCTTTGTATTCCGAGGGTATCTGGCAGCAACCAGTTCAAATTTTCTTATTTTTTACTGTTTATCATTGAGCGGATACTTGTGCACAGACCACACTCTGGAATGTACACTTTCAGGCACAATTTTGCTGGTAAATGCAGTAGAAAAATTGTACTCAATTCGCAAGATTTTAGATATTTGTACTTCAATTTTTTAATCCACAATTTTTTACTTGAAGTACTTAAAGTGGGTATGACCTCCAGCAAGCTCAGTGTTTGAGTAAAAAGACGTCTGCACTGTAAGCAGGAGCTGTTTGATTTGAGTCCCCCTCAAGTATTAAAAACTTGTGATTTTTTTTTCTCAGACTACTGTTTTTCTTTTTTTTATGGAAAATCCCCCAAGCAAGACTATTAAAGCCATTCTTGGCAAAGGGCTAGAAAGAAGAAAAATATGATGAAAAGACAAATAATAATCAGAAAGCTGGAGGTAGGAATTGATATTCCTCTCAAAAGAGGCTAGATCATAGAATGGAGGGAAACAGCCACTAGGCAAGGAGTTCCAAAGAGATAAGAACGTGGGAAAAAGCTATTAGAGTAGCTCTTTGTTCTACATCTCGGCACAGCTAGAGTGTATGGGTGGGAGGAAGCAGAGAGCCTGGTTGGACACTCACAGGAACCAAGTCAAACAAACTGGTGGAACAATTTCCATGGGAATATCTACAGTCGTTTTCCTAGTTCCGGATTTTTCCTAGTTCGGAATAGCTTCAAATAAAAACCTACCTCTTTTGGATTAGTCTCCAATAAATTTTTTCTGATGATGTGCTTTTGAAAAGGATAATGATTTTTCCGATAAAATCTTTAGAATAGGAATTTTGGCCAGATTTCCGACTCGCACTTCGATATGTTTGGAGGGTTTGTAGAGAATCAACGATAAATTTTCTCCTCGGTATATCACTTGTACCGTGTGATTTCGAATATTTTGTTCATACACTACAGTCGTATAAACTCTTCCATCGAATGCTTGTTGAATCAAAATAAGTTGTAAAGTCTCTAATTATTGAAAATTTGCAAACGAATGACCGTATGCTTTTGTTTAGTTCCGGATAGGGCATGCACTTACGACCCAACTACACGCACGTTAATCAATTTTGTGTGACGTATTCTGTGCTGGGGGTCAAAGATTTTCCGTGCGTGAGATCGAGCTGTTGCGCTGCAGACAAAAGTTTCAATATCATTTACGTTTTTTCTCTTTTTAAATTTGCTTGAATTCTCTTGAATGAACTATTTTTGGAAAATGAAATAATACTTTATCAGAAAATATGCTTGATTCGGTTGGTTCTGGCTGAAAAAACAATATTGTCTCGCGTGATTTTTTTTTTCACGTGAAGCAGTTTTGATAATTCGGATCTGATTGAACCGATCCGGAACTAGGAAAAGGGACATCGGTACTTTTGACGTCACAAAATCAAAATAAAACAAGCTTAATTTTTGCTCTCTCCATCACTTAAGAAAAACTTTTTAATCAATGTCACTTGAATTCATGGAGTAGTTGAGCTGAAAGCAGCTTGAATGATGTTCGCTATCCGGAACTAGGAAAATGACTGTATAGAACATTCTGAGGGTGGTTACTGACCTACGGTGGGAAAGGGGTTGTAATGATGAGCCCAACTCTTCACCAACCAACTTAACGATTCGCTTCTGCGGTGATGATAGTGTTGATGAAATTACGTCAGTACGTGAAGGACAAAACCCGAAACTGAATTCCAATCCACGATTTCTCATGCAGGGTTTGATTCTGACGAGAAACCTCTCCACTACGAGTACCTGTACAGCACCGGCAGTGAAGACACGGCCAGCGTTGCCGGACCCGAAACCAGCAATGAGATGTTCACCTTGCTGTACTACAGTCCCGAGGGGGTGACTGCACCCATCACGTTACCCATGGGCATAGCCAGCAGGTCCTACATGGTAGATGTCCATGTTGAAGTGATGGACTCGTTGGGCGCCAGCGTACATGCACAGCTACAAGTCAAGGTAGGTCATGGCGCTGTCATTTAAAGCCTTGAATTTGAAGACTTTATCTCCAAAGTGCAACATATCCATTTGAAAAAGTTGAAAATTTTGTACGGTTTTGAAACTTTAAAGAATATAAACAGTTGTAACACCTGTTTCTTAACTTCTTTTTTTGCTTTATTGTGTCCTTAAGTTGTGTTTCAGTGTAACAGCCTTCGAAATTGCTTTTGGGCAGACAGGAGAGAGCGGGATTCTAAAAGGGAACAAAATTGTGTATATTGCGTTTTGGAAAAAAATTCTTCATTTGTTAAGTGCGAAAGAGGATGATGTTGAAGAATTGTGCCAAACCAAGTTTTTGAAAAAGTACAAGAAAAGTCAGACATTTGAAATAGAAGTGAAATGAAAGATCAAATATTGCAGTCGATAGGAAAAACTCCAAGAGTCAGTGGAAAATTAATGGATAAAATAAACCTGTCTCAAACCAAATTCTACTTTGACCAGAGTTATGCACTCCAAATGTTATTTGGTTCGGTGTCACTCTGGGGCACCAATCTGATATGGGTTCAGGGCATTCTTACAATGTCTTGAATTTTAATTGTGTGGTTTCCTCATTACATATTTATTTACATGCAGCGCAAATAATTTATTGCGCATTTCAACTCTGAACAGTCAAGTTTTATTTGGAAAATGCTATTTGGTCTGTTGACATTAGAATGTTTATGATGGTGTACCGTGGGAATTTGATATTAATCACACCACCTTCTTCTCTCAGCCAAACCAAGAGGATAAAACATTGAGAGTTATTTTACCCGCACTTTGCTTTTATTGTAAACTTTCCAACCAGGTGCTACCACCGCCTGAGTCCCAGCTGACAGCCGAGCTGTCTGCCCTCAGACGAGGCAACGCTAGCACCCTGGACCTGTACCTGGAGAAGGCTGACACCCAGTCGGCTACCAAGCTCATCAATACCCTCGCCACCATACTCAATGAGGAGACAGTACAACCAGAAGACGGTGGAGACAGTGAAGATACCGGTGGAGATGCAGATTGGCTGATGCAAAAGAAAGAAGTGAGTTGCACAAAGGGTTTGCGGTGGGGGGGGGTGTGGGAGGGGGAATGGGTGAGGTCCCCCTTCTACCAGAACTACCCCCTCCCTTCCCAGAACCCCCCCCCCCCCCCAAACAAAAGATGGTTAAGTCAATATTAATAATAATAATTACACGATTTATAGCGCGCAACATTATGCCGTTAATTTTATGTATCTAATTTTCATCACATCACAATGACGTCAGTGAATCTTATATTTTTTGTTCCATCGTAAAGAAAAAGAAGGGTAATAATATTTGGTAATAAAAGACTTAGAAGAAATAGGTCGGTTATTTTACTCTAATTCATTAATTTATAACACAATTTGAACAAGAAGAGGATTTTATGAGGTAATCTTAGCTAAACTTGTAACTTCTCTGTTTCAGCTGAGGTCCAAATTAGTGGAGAAACTAACGCAAGTGAGTGTGTTGAATCTGGATTCCACCAAGCAGACATCAGCTGCTATCACACAGGCCATCAACAAGCCTAATGAGGTTACACCAGGCACTCAGGTAGGCCCAAACCTTGACTTCTCCTTTATTCACAGCCATGGGCGTCGTGAGGAGGATGGGGGTGACAAGGGTGGGGGGTAGTCTGAGTATCACCCGTTATCCACGGAGCCCAGTCTCCTGTCTAACGTCTGATATATCTAAGCATGTGTGACGTCATTTCATTCCAAAATCAGGGCTAAGATTGTGATTGGTCAATTTCGATGCCGCGTTTTTGTAAAACAACAACGTGTACAAAAATGCTACTCATCGTGGGCATGATATTTACGCACGCGGGGAGCTTGAATTGTGCGCCTATAGAAGGCGCCTGCTGATTGGTCAGTTTCTCAAGGCCTCAAACACAGAAACAGTTTCTCCAAGCATATGATGTCCACTCCCTACCCCCCTCCCCCCCCCCCCCCCCCCCCCCAGCCTGTGAGTGCTTTGCCTATCTCGAATAAAAATCCTTGTCACACCCAGGTAGGCTCAAAAAGTAGACCGATCCATTAGGCCTCGCCCATCGCGCATGAAGGTTTGTGTGTATGGTGTATTTGAATGTACATGGCCTCTAGCTGCCTGCTGTGCTCCCAAGGGAAGTGCTTCATGACCTCAGCACTTACTTACCTTTGGTACAATTTTACAACCTCAGATGCTAGCGGCTGATTCTTATTTGGAGATGGTCGACGTCTTGAAGGAAGAATCCCGAGAGGGAACCAGCATTGACGTCATTGAAGATGCATCCAGATACTTCTACTCAGGTCAGCATTTTTACGCTCCTCGCTTACTTACATTCATTTTGTGTTCATATTTCCGTAAAATATTTTAGAAAAATAGTGAACAAATTTTAATTTGAACAAAAAAGTGAAATGGAGCAGGGATTGAACCTTCTACTGGTGCCGTTCCGGTGTTCTACCAACTGAGCTATCCAGCCCAATGTTAGCGGTTCCCATTTTGTCAATGTCTTCGTGCAAGGAGCACTAGTCAAAAGCCATAAACCCATATATGCCATGTAGCCAGGGATCACGCCCAAAGTCACAATGCTGGCAACATTAGCTGCAAACCGGGAAATAGCAAACAGGCAACACTCAAAGAGGATACAGCATTTTATTCGAAATTTTTCAAAGAGGATTCATTTGTCTTGCAAGAGGCAATAAGATAACTGTTAGAAACAACCGTGTTACACTGGAGTTCCAAAATATTGTTTTCAGTGACTAAGTCAACCTATATAGAAAGGTATTATTTTATCATTGTGTACACTCAATTGACTGCACTCGACTATAACAATTGATATTTCAACATAAAGCTGAAACTTTAATGCACTCTATAAAAATCTTCGGATTATTAATTTTGTTCCCTGCTACTCTGGAATGCTAGTATAAAACAGGTGTAACCTATTTCATTTCCAGGAGCTTCGAGCCTGCTAAGGGCTGCAGCTACCCAGGTGCAGTCATTCTATGACCTGCTGGACAGCCATCCAGATGACTGGGATGCATTCTGGACAGCTGAGGGGGCTGCCCTCAGTAACATCACCTATCCGGAGAGCGTAGCGCTGACACTGACAACAAGTTCAGGTGATGCTTGTTTGGCTCTTCGGATTGAGGCCCAATTTTGTAGAGCTGCCGAACAGACAATTTAAAAGAAAAATTTTGCTGAGCAAAACCGAGCTGAGAACCATTTACAGACAGTATACACCATATGGTAATTTGGTTGGTATTCCAGTTTTCGCTGAATAAATATTGTTTGTGCTAATTTTGATTGTGCTTAGTCTGAGTGTCATCCGTTTAATGGAGTCCACAAGCTCTGCAACAATGTCTGATATATGTGCGCATGCGATTTTTTTGTGACCCCGCACCAGCCAATCGGAGACGACTTTAGAAATTGTGACTTTACTTCGAGACAAATTTTGGCCTTACGTATTGATTGGACAATTGGCTGCCATGTTTTTGTAATACAACATCGGGTTACCGAAGACCCGATAGAAGGCGCCCGCTGAATGGTCAGAATCTCAAGGTCAAGATGCAGTCTTGTTTTGCATAAGTAATCGCCGAATCTGCACAAATATCATTTCCACTTGCTGGAATAAATTCATGGACTTTATTCCATGGGAATAAAGAATCCAAATTTCATCAAGTTTTATTTTTTTGCTGGACATTAACAGATGCTGTAGTGGATTTAAGTGTTCCAGATATTGATGTCATAGAACAGGAGCCGTGGGTGCCATTCCAGCTCAGAGAGGTATGTAAGATCTAAAGTTTTATCGTTTGCCCATTTCAAACTTAGTTCCAGAGTCCAACCCAGGCGCAAATCCAGAGGTGGGGGGGGGGGGTTGGGGGTTGAAAAAAAAACCTGCTCTGACCCCCCCCCCCAAAAAAAAAATTATAACAAATAAGTGCATCAGTAACAATGTCCTGCTTCACCAATATGTCCGCAACAATCGACCCAAAAAAATCTGACGGGCCCTTCCCCCCCCCCCGCAAAAATTCCTGGATCCGCACCTGCAACCAAGAAGTATTAAGAGCAACTCGGGTAAACTGGAATCAATTTCGATTTCAGACAGATGAACTTTATGTATTAGTTTTGCATTGACTAGACTGTAGTGTCATTCTGTACAACCGCAACAGTCAATCTGAACCTCCACAGGTCCCTGCTGTATTAGATAGCAATTTCTTTGTTGAGAAAATAAAAAAAAATGGAATAAACTTTAACTGAAAGATTACCCTCTAGATTCAATATGAGGTTTAGCCATTCATCAACATAATATCACAAGCAGTGAACACCCAAGTGCTGTCAGAATGCCATTTGACTTCCAAGCTTGTTGGGGTTGGCTGGCTAGTTTGAATCCGATTTGTACTGCAAGCAATCAGTGTTTTTGTGGTGGAATTTTCGCAGAGTCGCAACGTTACCCAGAAGGTCTTTGCCATCATTGAGGAGGTCTCTAACACCATCCTAAGCAGTAAGGTCCCCGGTGAGCAGGCTACGGTCATCCAGACTGGCCCCATGACACTCATACTGCGCCAGGAGAACCTTAGGGAACCTGGGATCAGGTTCTTCCAGACATCGGACGGGACGTGGTTTAAGATTCCTGGAGAGGCGATGGAGGAGATTGCTGGCATGTACGGGCAGGAGAGCATTAGTGCTCAGGTAAGGACAGCATATGTGAACCAATCCGACAAAATAAAACACAAGTGCTGCTTTTGGTATGAACAATTTAATTACCCCGTGCTCTTCCAAAAAAAAATTATTTTTTTTTGTTTCCTCCTAACAAATTTTCAATTTTATGTTTTGTTTTAACAAAAATTTACTTTATTTGGATTTGGGGAGTCTGCAACACTCTGAAAAAGGGCAACGTTACTTGGATTGTGCGGGCGAAAAGTTTGACATAAATGCATTAAAAGATATTTACTTGTTACTCAGGCAAGTGATATCATATCTTGAGAAGATGAATTAAATGAACAATTCCATAACAATTCATTTCACAATTGCCGTGAATTGTGACCATCTCCATTTCATTTTCTCAGTTAGTATTCCTGTCATTAACTAACCATTCATCTTTTCTTGTACCTTGTAGGCTGTTAGTATGTCCGAGAACCCTTACTCGTGGCATCTGAGCGCTTCCGACATCAAGACATCAGTTATCGGACTCAGCCTAAAAGATGACAATGGTAAGTATGATCATTGTAGATCAGAATCCCCAAGGTTTTTAGGGAAATATTAGATACTTTTATTGTAAAATGGATATTTGAGCTACAAATTGTAATTCAGTCATCCAGCAGTGTTGTAGACAGGGCACCTGTTTTGGATCACAAATAAATCACAAGTTAATTCACAAGTCCACTAACGTTACCAGGAATGCCTTTGTCACACTTCACTTGAATAGCTTGCGAGTTGACTTGGGACTGGAGGACTTGTGATTGACTTGTGATTGACTTGTGATGGACTTGTGATGACTCGTGATGACTCGTGATGACTTGTGATGACTTGTGATTGACTTGTGATTGACTTGTGATTGACTTGCGATGACTTGTGATTGACTTGTGATTGACTTGTGATTGACTTGTGATTGACTTGTGATGACTCGTGATGACTCGTGATGACTTGTGATGACTTGTGATTGACTTGTGATTGACTTGTGATTGACTTGCGATGACTTGTGATTGACTTGTGATGACTTGTGATTGACTTGTGATTGACTTGCGATGACTTGTGATTGACTTGTGATTGACTTGTAATGAATTGTGATTGACTTGTGATGACCTATGATGACTTGTGACCACTTGCGATGACTTGTGATCCAATTAGAACTCAAGTATCTGGACTACAACACTGCCATGCAGTGACACCAGAAAGCTGTTAAGCTATCTAACGTCATGAATGTTGGTATTATCATCATGTTGATTACAGGTGATGAGTTGATAGTCACCGATCTCTCCTCCAATATTGAGATGCTGATCCCCCGAGGAGGCGACAGCACCATCCGCTTTGAGTCCATGACCGCCTCCTCCACCGAGCGCCTCTATCTCCACTTCAATCTCACCGACACTCACAGCTCCCTGCACATTGACATTCACCTGGCTGACAAGGCGGGGCAGGACACGCCCACAGACACGCCCCTTGAGGCAGTTCTCCGCTACGGCTTCTACCCGACTCCTGACGAGTACGATCTCAAGATGACCTTACCCATCCCCGACGAAGACTTGTACTCCTCCAGCTACAACACAACGTGGAACATCACCACAAACCCTTATACTTGGTTCATTCCTGAGAACAGGCTCTATGCCGTCGGGGCTTACTACCTCAGCGTTAGACCCCTCAGTAACCCAGCGGATCCTGGCTCGGTGTCGGGAGGTGTCAATGCGACAGGTGGAACGACAACTGAAGAGGTCAAGGTGGATGTCAACGTTCAGATATACTCAGCCAGATGCATGTACTGGTCCCCTGTCTATGAACAATGGTTCCCACATGGTTGTGAGGTAAATTAGTAATAAAAATAAAGTGTTTTTTGTAATATATAAAGTGCATGTATCACACTTTGGTGCTCAAGGCACTACATCTTTTGTTACACCTGCTCAATGAAACAATCCAAAGACAATCTCAGCTCCCTGGGGAGCTTGATGCTTCCAGTTGGGTGCAAGGTAGCTAAAATCAATCGCAATAACCATATCTACCCTCACAGGTACCCATTTACTCCTGGGTGGAGAGAAGCAATGAGTGACAAAGTGCCTTGCCCAAGGGCACACGCACCACAACCATGGGCGTCGCGAGGGGGGGGCAAGGGGGGGCACTTGCCCCCCCCTGGAAAAGCAAAAAAAAAAAAAAAAAAAAGGAAGAAAAAAAAAGGAAAGAAAAGAAAAGAAAAAGAGGCGCGAAGACAAAGTGGTGTAAATTTAATGAGTTGGGGGGGGGGGCAAAATGTCCCTGCCCCCTTCTAAAACTGATAAATCGAGAATGTGTTGAGAAGTACAAGCATTTTTAGGCAAAAATTATTTTTGCCCCCCTCTAGAAAAAATCCTGGCGACGCCCATGACCACAACCCCAGGCTAAAATCAAACCCACAACCAACAGAATTACCCGCGGACGCATGAGTTCAATGCTCCAGACCACGAGGCTACGTCACTCCAATTAAGGCCCTCTGCAGAAAAGTACATTCATCCATTTGTTACAACCAATGTCCCATCCCACTTTGGCCTTATACCTTACAGGGTTTCTCACAGTATGCTTGTGACCAAGTTTTACAGAGCCTCTGCTTTCAATTGATATCTGTAAGAGACAAAAACTTGTGATCAAATTACGCACTATTTGATTGATACAGAGGAAGGGTTTGTTTGAAACAACTGCGTTAAATGAACAACCCTCAAAAGTCAAAATTACATTTTCCAAGCCCTAAGGCCAAAAAAAAAGTCTCCGGTTTCTGGTATGCGCGCCCGTCGCCATGCGCGTCGGCAAAATGAAAAAGTTTTTTTTTCAATGAAAGATGATGTCTCAAAACCGCCAAACTCACTGGTTAGACTGGAATCCTGCTGCTGCACAATTTTAACGTGTTTTTAGATGGGGTTATGATCGAGAATAAGCTTTATGTGGCCTCTCTGGACTCCCATATATTTGCACTAAGTTTAGTCGGGCATTATTTGCAGTCATCAGGCGACATTTGAAGCAAAAAAGTCAGGTAAAAAAAAAAAAAAAAAGTCGCGTCGCCGCACCACTTTTTGGACAAGCTCCATACCAGAAACCGGAGACTTTTTTTTTTTGCCTAAATGTTAGGTTTTCAAGATTTCTTGTGTCTTTCAGCAAGGCTATTTCATCAAAATCTTACCTTTAATAAAGAAACGTGCAGATAAGAAGCTCTCCTGATGAATATCTCCTCCGCATGTGTGGTTTGCCTTCAGGTTGGGTCTCTCACCACGGCATCCTTCACCCACTGCCTCTGCGATCATCTCTCCTCCTTCGGTGGCAGTTTCTTCGTCCCGCCGAACCGTCAGATAGTTGTCGTTGAGGAGGAGCCGGAGATTGCGGAAGTCACAAGAACATTCATCGTCTTGTACGTCTTGGGAGGAGCCGTGGGAGCATTCCTCATTTCGCTGGCATGTGCGTTCAAAGCTGACTGGAGATTCTTTAAAAAGGTCGGTCATCACACTGGAGAAAATTTAACGGATTGGAAATGTATTTTTTAAGTATTGGTGTAACATGTTTGCTGTATGGAAGGATTTTTTTCAGAATCACCCTGTACTGAAGTCTCTTTTGGAGTTAATATCTGTGGTTCTGAAAAACAGTTCAACTCGACATAAGATGGAATGTGCGTCGGGGTGATGTAAATTCAATATAAGGTTTTGTCCGAGTCCCACCCGAGTGATTTTTTGTCACTCTCACTCGGGAGGTAACACGCTGAGAAAACAGTGTTGATATGTCAAAGAAGGGCAAAACCTGATATTCAATTTACATTATCCTGATGCAAGTTCCATCCTACGAATAGTTTCATTGCGGTACCTGCTGCTACACAGTGGTAAAACGTCTGCAAAAGAACCCTTGTGGGTTTGAGTCTCATCTGAGTGATTTTTCTCACTTTTTTTCTGAGTGATTTTTCGAGGGGGGGGGGGGGGACCACACTGAGTATACAGTGTCCATGCGTCGGTGAAGGGCAAAACCTAATACTGAGTGTTTGAACAATATTTTTGGGGTTGGTAGAGCATTAGTTATCCATTGTAATCTCCATTATGATCCTAATCTATTTGTTTGAACAGTTGTTCAGTGACCTGGAAATGGAACAGTCTTGTTACATAGTAACATTCTTTACCGGGATGGATCTCAGCTCTGGAACAACAGCAAAAGTAAGTCTTGGGGTGTTTTTTTTGGGGGGGAGGGCACCTTATTGAAAAAAAAAATAGTCATGGTTCATTATACACGAATTAGACTGAGTCGTTCAGTTTTTAATTTCCTATTTAGTACTAAAAAGTTTTAAAAATGTAAAATTTCCTAGAGAGAAGAAAACGAAAAATGAGAGAGATGCAAAGTGAGATGTTGAAAACCTATTTAGTCAGTTAACCTCCACCTGTGAAGTCTTGCTATTGTTTCACTGCTCAATTATTTTGCAGGAATGGAGCAATGGAGAAATCCCCTCTCCATTATTTTGGAAGGCAACGTCTCCACCGCTCCATTCGTATAAAATAATGGAGCGGAAAACGAGCTAAGGAGACAGAGGCACTTGAATAGAAAAAAAATACTAATCCTCTTACAACAACATTTACCAATTTTGTAATATAACACCTCCATTAATATCAGCTTCTTTTTCTTTTTTTTGGATTCTGTTGTTTTTCTTGGCTTACTTCATTCAAATAAGAAGCATTGTTTACACATTTTAAAATACATGCACCAATAATAAATGACGATAAAATTCCTTAACGGTACTTGTAAGAACATTTGTTTGTAAACATGCCATGTATCAAATGTAAGCAAATCTGACAGTACGCATTTTTATATTTCCAAGCGCTTGCAGATTTTTTTAACAGTGATTTTTGATAATCATTTAAGGCAGATTTGAAACGTCTTTTTTAGATAATTCTTAAAACACCGTAATTTTATGTTATACAATGTTTTCACAAATCATGCAGTCCGTATATCTCTACCAAAATGTACATGTAAACAGCATATCTTAGAGGTTTATATTCAGTGTCAGTGTTATGTTCCTTGTCGCGATCATCACGATGCATCGTAGTAGTCCAAGTCGATGAGATAGTAGTCCCAGTGGATGAAATGGACCTTTTCTTTCCTGTCTCCTCCTCTGTGGGTATGCCTTGTACAGTTTCCCTTGCGTTTGAGTGCGTCACTAGTACATTTGTATCCTCTCACTGCATTGGACCTGTGTCCAGTAACTTCGCAGATTAATTGCTCATCAACCTCGTTGTCGTACATTCAAGTTGCTGCACTTGCTCGGAGTGAATGATTTGTGCGATGTCCCGGAATACCTGCAGCTTTGCACAAATCTGACACGACACAGGAAAGTTTGTGATGCCCCAGTTGCCGTGCAGTGTACCACACATTGCCCTTACGGTTAGCCAGAAGTCTAAGGTAGAAGGTGTCTGTTGCTTGTTGGGCTGGTCAATGCTGAAGGTACTTTACATACAGTCTCACAATGCAGCGGGACGGATTGGCTTTGTTTTCGTGAGTGTCTACAACGTTGGGCTTTATTTTGCGGTGTTTTAGCCCTCCTTGATTTGCCTTGGAGACATCTTCGGCATAGTATAGAAACTTCCCACCATCCTTGTCTGTGTGAACGGACAGCTGCGAATTGCGGTGTCGCAAATTCCTGTGTTCTTGATCCCCTCGCAGTGCAAAGTTCAGTCCAATGAGGTAAATCAGTGTGTTCAGCAATTAATTGTGTCAGGTTATTGCTGCCCAGAACACCAGTTGTTCACATCAGTACCTCCTCATCCAGGGTTATCACCTCGGCTTGCTTAGGTTGATTACCAAAACCCTCCCTAGCACGATCCTTCATCAGTCTGTCCATTGTATTCTTGATCTGTAAGAAGTCAGGATCTTGCAGTCATTTGTAGGCCTTGTTCATGATGTCGAAATAAAGCTGGAGACAAATTACAAGTTCATGCAGTGTAGTTCCTGGGAACTTCTCATTGCTTGTTTCTTTATGTCACACAGAATTCGTGTGACGGAATAATTCAGTTCATCCTTAGTCATATCCTCAAGACAGACATTGATCAATTGTTCAATGTTGGGCGGTTGTTGGCTCGCTCGTTGCACTGACCTTGCCACTGACGATAGAGTCCGACTGCCCACTTCTTCTTCATAGTGTTATCCGAAAGTCCGTAAAAAGATCAGAATCACACATTTATGTTTTGGGTTCAAAAATCAGATACAAGGTTAAACTAATGAAATGTAAGAGGGCTTTATTAAGATTTGACAGATTGGAAAGAGTTGAATCTAGAAATCTTACACCAAGAACTGTTAATATGCAAAACATAAACTAATGTTTCTGAAAAAAAAGACATTGAGTGGTTTTGTAGCTGGGGTTTTTTCTGTGCAAAAATCTGAAGGATGAGGGTTTTTTTGTAATTATATAATTTAGAGAATTTTGTAACTACGAAATGGTCGACATTGACTATTTCTCACTTGAAGAACTTTTTTCCAAAACTTTTTGGATGCAAGAGTTTAATAAAAACAACTCACTGAATGAAATTAACTGAATAACAAAGTTGAGCGAAAAAAATAGTTCTCATTTTCTGGGAAATTAAAAACCTTCTTGTGCTCCTCGTTTCCTTTCGGAGTCTCAAAACGGTCAGTTTGATTGACTTTTTCCTCCAGGGCAAGCGAGGCTGCCAGAAGCTCATCGTCAGATATATCAGAAACTATCGGCTGATATGTACAGTTTTCTAGTTTAACTTGGGATGGATGTTGTAAGGCCAATGCATCAGCCACGGCATCGTCAGTGTTATGCTCATCACTGTCTTGTGACTAAAATTCATTCTGTGTTTAAGAATAGATATACTCCACGCCATGTTGATACAGTATCCCACTTACGACCGAACACGGCTCCATATGCACAATCGCTTATACACCGCAGTGACTGCATTTCAAAATTATGTATCAACAAATCTCTTGTCTTTCTACTAAACAAAGTCGCTCCGTTTGTGCAAAATAATGGAGCGCTAGAAACGATAGGGGGACGTCACAGGTAGAGGTTAAGTCGGTTAATACCCTCGGTAGCGCGCCATTCTTACCCACAAATGGCGTGTACCTTAGGCATTATCCTCTACTTATCTCACTTTGTCTTATATCTCATTTTTCCTTCTTGCAGGTGTGTCTGTGCTTACATGGTACGTTGGCTACTTCGGAACCCATGGAGATGGCCAATCAAGACAACACTTCCTTCAAAGGCAGTTGCGTGGACTCGTTCCTCGTGACAATGCCTACCGACGTGGGTAGAGTGGAGGGGATAACAGTATGGCACGGTGGCCAGGGATACAGTCCACAGTGGTCAGTTGGAGAACATTCCTTAACCATCTAAAAATTCAAAGCAGTGAATTCAGTATTGGGTCTTACCTTTCACCAAGCACCGTATACTCAGAATCGTCAAACGGCTTGAATGAAAAATTCACAACAGCAAAACCTAACACTGAATTAATGTCTCTCTGACACAAAATAATAATTAATGAAGCGCAGAAAATCGCAGAAAGATCCACCTCCAATAGAATAATTCCAATAGAAACTTAAGTTAATACAAAAACAATTCAAAACTAAAAGTGTGTTCGTGTACAACACAAGCTGTTTCGTCTGTTTCTGAAATGGCTCTGTGACGTGATGACAAAATGTTTCATCAAAATATTCAATCATACCCAACATTTAGAATTGCCATGACTCTTTTGCATTTAGCTCTGTCTTAGTTCAAATATGAATTAAAGTTTAGGAGATTCAGTATTGTTTAGTTTACGATCGAATTACTTTCTGACTTGTTTTTAAATACGTAACAAAAATATTGGAAAGAATATTCACGTTTGTCTTCATAGAACGATTGGTTCGACATGTCATGCTGAAAATGTACCTTTTTCCTTTGACATTTTTAGGCACCTGAGCCGAGTTCTGGTGCAAAGTTACGTAACCGGTGACAAAGCTTACTTCCTCTGCAACCACGTCCTAAAGTCTGCCAATGATCCAGTCTTCTTCAAAGCGTCAACGCCCAAGCAGCTTGCCAAGCATCATCATCTCTTCATGACCACACCAAGCTACCGTCCTCTCACAAAACATATCTCAGTGTGGAATATGGTCAGCAGGCCTGTGATTTCCCAGGTCACTCACGCCCAGCGAGTGGCCTCTTTCTTCTGTCCCTTGTTCCTGTCCATGGCAGTTGTGACCTTAGTGAAAGGGTTTCTGGAGCCTGGACAGGAGGAGCCCTCAGATGGAACCATCTCCTTGAGTCTAGACATGACTAGTATTATGGCCGGAGTAGCAGCAGGAGTAGTAGTGCTTCTTGTCTATTATCTCCTTGTCTTTCTCTTCAATACCATCAGACCTCGTCTCAAAGTGAAGAAAGTAGACGAAGCACAAGTGACTGAAGAATCATCTCCGAATGTGGCTGCCAAGGATGTAAGGAGGAGAACCAAAGGAAGGCAACAGAAGTCGCCAATGCAGCCAGAGGACATCAAAGTGGAGGTTTCTGAGACAAAGGATAAAAGAGTTCAAAATCTCGGGGCTCTGTCAATCAAAAATAAGCGGGACCAAGAAGAAAAGAAAGACACAAAACAAGTCACTTCTGCTCTTGCGGCATCCGTCGACATCCCCAAGGTGTTATCCAATTCCAGTTGGTCGGAGGACTGGTCGGATTACAGTGAGAACTTTGAGGATCCTAGCGAGGATTTACCTTACAACATCAATCAGAATGCAAAGCGGCACTCGAATGAGTACCTGAATGAAGGTGAATCCCTTGAGGAGAGCATCAACCAAAATGCTAATCCATCAACGGAGAGCAGTGAAGATGATTCAAGTCCTCGTCCTTCAAATCCTATGCCCCTCCAGCTTCCTTGTAAAAACAGTAGGGGGCACTTCAGATGGTCTCTATCCAGGCATAGTCACAAAGCCAGCTTAAAGGATACTGTTGGTGAACCTGATGCTCAAGATGGTGTTCATAGGTTTGACTACGGAGGCGGAAATGGCAAACATGTGATGCAGGATCTCAACCCGAATTGGAATCGGAATGCTCTAACAGATGAAGGTCTTTCTGAGCTAGGAGGCAGCAAACAGCATCCAGGTAAATCAGGAAGGGTATCCGTTCTGAAGGAGAGAGAACTTCCAAAGAGTAGCCAGGACAAGAATGTTAAAGGGATTTCTCAAAGACAAGAAAAGAGATGCTTCAGTGGATGTGGCGAGAGAAACATTCTGCCATGGTGGACCTCCATCATCCTGTGGATTGTAAATTGGATCTTGATCGGAGGATCAGCTGCTTTGACTGCCTTCCTCACCTTAGACTACACAGCTCAGAAGGCCATCAACTGGCTTCTGCCTGTTGGGATCGCCTTGGCACAAAACCTGCTGCTTCTGCAACCCATCCTAGCATTCCTAAACGCCATCTTCAGGTCAGTGTTCCTGAAGCCTGACTGCCTCACCCAGGCATCGATCTCATTTGAGTCAACCACCTCGAGCTTTCAACACAAGGCCCCTCCTGACCTAGACACCGAGGCGAAAACTGAAACCAAGTCGTCACGTCTGCTCAGAAACCATCGTTTGAGAAAACTTCAAACTTCTATCCGTCCTAAAGCCAGATTACTGAAAGGTGTCAAGAAGCATGTTCCCGCGTGGCTGTTCCTTGTTCTAGTTATCTACCTTGCCCATGGAAAGAGAACCATTGATGAATTCCAAACGACTTCAACAACAAAAAATATGTTTGTTAAAGGAGCAGAGCATGGGACACCGTCCTTTCATCAGGTATTACTCATATTTTAAACTTTTTTATTTGTCTTAGTGTCTATTTCTGAGCCAATCAATGAAAATTTGACAAATCTAATTCCATATAAGGTTTTTACACAAGTGAAAGGGGATGAATCTAGTTTATTCTAAAATATTCTACAATTTATAGGTTAGCACATTTTCTCAGATCAGCGGATTTTCTTCTTCTTTTTTTTCTTCTTTTTTTTACAGCTTTTGTAAGCCATTAAAAATTGAAAAACAGTGCTCAGAGAGTCTTGTAAAGTTTGAATTTTCTTTTTGTTGTGAATTACCAGTTGCATGCCTGAATGCAATTATTCTTAAAAGGTGTGCCAAGTTGAAAAACCTTTTAAGGTGAAGATGATGGTCGGTAAACTCAAATTTTATTGGCCAAACATTTTACTTGATCCCAGTTATCAGGGAAAATTAAATTATCAGGGCCAATTAATTCACCGAAGTATTAAAGAATCAATGTGATCCTGTGAAAGGGGGAAAAGTTCACCTGTGATACAGAAATTAAGAGACACTGTCATGATCAATTCAGCTGACAGCCAAAGACGGTTTCTCGTGACTGAAAAATGGAATGCAAATGAAGTGAAACCTTTTCAAAATAAAAAAAAAAAACACAAATGGTTTGAAGTGGACTTGTCCCAATGGTAAAGTCTCAGTGTTTCTAGAGCATAGAAACAGTTTTCGCTCTCAATCCTTGTTTTGTTATAAGGCTGCAAATCAAAACTGATGGTTGATTTCTGTAAACTGACTGTACCTGATGACCAATGACATTGGATCTCTTTTTTTTTTCTCTCTGAGTCTCTCCTCTGAATTGCCGAGAGTATGGTCCATTCAAATCAGCATCATTCTCATTTTCTTCAGATGTTGCTACAATGCCGACTCATTCAGAAAGCACTTAACAAATTTCTGGACAGATTTTTTTTTAATGCTTGCTAGTGTAAATCGCTCGTGAAAACACTCCATTAAGATGTTGGACTCTCGTAATTTGCAGTGTCACATCCTTTCAAAACTGATTGAATGGCTGAGCTATTTGTCCGCCCCAGTTTACCTGAAAGCGTCTGAGGTCTCAGTAACAAAACAGAGACACCATGCATCTATTTAAGAGATGAAGGTTTAAGTGTAATGCTGAATTATCTGCCGGTACAATATAACTCAATATTGACCAAAGGGGAGCTTGAAGCAACTATTTATAACATGGAATCTGCTTTAGGGGATGTAGAAAAAAATATATATTTCTTAATATAAACACAGTGTACCCAAAAAAGTGCAACATTATGAAAACAAATAATTACCGGGTAAAACTGTTTAATGGGTTTTTTTTCTTCAATGAAATTATATATTACATTCAAGCCTGACTATTTCTCAATCCACTCCTTTTTATCCAATTACATTTGGGTCCCTAGATCCAGAAATACAATCAATTAAGTGAAAGGGTGTAAGTTTTACTTGGGCCACTCTCACCTGTGATGTCACCAACTTCAGTGCCTATTCAACGGTTAACCAATATTCAGCATGTCCAGGTGTCTGTCAATATTGCCCCACACACATGGCAACCGGCGCGGCATAACCCATTCCTTACTAGTACATGTATTTGGATTTTTGACCAAATATGGTGAAATTGATGGTGTGTTTTTATTTGACTTATGCTGAGCAAAATGCTCTAAATCCTTTAGAAGAGTGAATGAAATATTCAACAATGTAGCTACTCTTTTATTTTGTGTACTTAACTACAACAATTGTAAGAAATTAAGGAAAAGCCACAAAGTAATATTTCCTTTGAAAAAGTGAAAAATCAGGTTTCCCAACTTCATGGACGGTCAGCGCGTCTCTGTTGTCAGCGTATTCCAATGTAGCTGCAATTATCAAAGGCTCAGACAATAGCCTTAGTCAAGAGATTTGAATGGAGCAGCCGAAGTCGCTTAAGCCACAATAACTTGAACCAGACGTACCGTTTACTGGACTTCATTTGCTGTTTTCAGGTGCACAAGGCAGATCAGTTCTGGCAGTGGGCCCGGGAGACACTCCTTCCTGGTCTTGAACCTGTCATGAATGCGGAGAGGAACCACGAACATCTGAAGCTGCTTGGCACTCCCCAGCTCCGACAGCTGAGGGTGAACAGAACACTGGCAGGTATGATCAAGTGCCATTATAGGCTCTTCAAGTTGCACGCTGTAGCAGACGGCACAGTGACTTCTTGACAACTCTTGAGAGTACAACGGGAATGGGCACAATGCATTCAAGCACTTGTTTGTGTGCATTATTGTGCAAAGAAGATGCACACAAAAGTATCTTTGCATAAACACAAGGCGTGCAGTTGTAATGCGTTCAGGACCCGACTAAGTGTCTCATTGTATCTGAGATAGGGGTACTTGTGCACAGAGTATGTTGATCATAAACCATGCTAGACAATAAAAAATACATCAGAGGCAAAGTTTAAAGTGGATCTGAATTTTCTGATTTGATCTTATTATTGTATTGCACCATGAGCGTCATTTTTGGCGGATACCCGGCATGTTATAACTTGCCGTTATTATTATTTTTTTTTTAAAAAATGTCTTTTATTTCTGTCCATCATATCTTTTAATAGAATTAATAGACCTCAGGCATGCAACTTTTCCTCGGATCAGCTGATTTCCTCTTTTTTCACTTCCAATGTGTGCCATTGAAAATAGAAAAACGCTGTACAAAGTCTGGGAAAGATTTGAATTTCCTCTTTTTTTGTGACTTCCCAGTTGCATGCCTGAGACCTGAGAAATTGAAATACTAGGGTAATAATAAAAAGTTCAACTGTTGTTTTGTCGAAGTAGACCTGAGAAGAGGTTAATGTTAATTTCAAGTTGTGTTTTTACATAGTCCTGCTTGCTGGAAAAAAGCCAGCTTATTATCCTGTGATCATGGCATGGGCGTCGCCAGAATTTTTTCTAGAGGGGGGCAAAAAACAAATTTGCAAAAAAATGCTTGTATTTCTCAACACATTCTCGATTTATCAGTTTTAGAGGGGGGCAGGGACATTTTGCCCCCCTCCCAACTCATTAAATTTACACCACTTTGTCTTCGCGCCTCTTTTTCTTTTCTTTTCTTTTCTGTTCTTTTTCTTCCTTTTTTTTTTTTTTTTTTTTTTTTTTTTTGCTTTGCCCCCCCCTTGCCCCCCCCTTGCCCCCCCCCCCTCGCGACGCCCATGCCTGTGATTGACTGAGTAAGTGACTTACAGATTTAGTGACTGACTGAGTCATTGACAATAAGTAATGCCCTAAACTGAGGCTTTTGTTTCCCAATCCATCCCTTTACCCAGACGCATGTCGAGACACCATCTCTGGAGACGTCCCACTGAGCTCATCAACTCCATGTAGCTCCTCTTACACATCAGACATTGAGGACACAGCTCAGTACCTCAGCTCATGGCAACCTACTGACAACGACGTCTCTCCTGCCCTCCAGCCGGCAGGATATCGCTTCTACAACCAAGAGGAGCTGCAGAATGCTCCCTTTACAGGTAAGTATGCGACCTATCATGGAGGAGGCTATGCCGCTGAGTTGGCGGGAGGCTATGCAGAAGCAGTCCAGATGATCCAAACTCTAGAAGCCGAGGAGTGGATCGACGGATACACCCGAGCAATATTTGTGGAGTTTCTTCTCTTCAATGCCCAGCTTAATCTGACAAGCGTTGTGAGACTTGTCGCCGAGGTTCTGCCAACCGGATATCAGGAGCCAGTGGTTCTTGTTGGAGTAGTCGGTGTCGGAGGGGATTCAGGCTGGGCTGGCACGGTGTATATTGCTTGTATTGGACTTTTAGGCGTAGCTGTTTATAGCATGATGTTTACGGAAGCTCACTGTATGCTTAGATGGGGTAGGACCTACTACACCTCTCTCAGACATCTTGTGGGCTTGCTCAATTTCATCACCGCCGCAGTAGCCGTCGCCATCTTAGCTTATCAGTGGATGGTCTCCGGTGCAGCAACAGTCACCAACCCTTCCTTCGGAGCATTTATTGACTCCCAGAGTGTAACGTGCTACGCTTCTTTGTCAAGTGCCCTAGTGGTCTTCACAGCCATGATGAAAGTGTTGTTTCAGCTGCATTGCAACGAGCGGATGGCGCTCATTCTCCAAGCCTGCGAAGCATCCTTCCTGCAGGTTTTAAAGTCCTTGCCAGTATTTGTAGCCACGGTGATGGCTTTTGTGTTCTCTGGATGGGCCCTGTATAGCGGACACATTAAGAGCTTTCATAGTTTACCCGGGAGTGCTGTGGGTCTCATCAATTTCTATCTGGGAGGGCTATCCATAGAAGCCAACCAACAGAAGACACTACCTGTCTTTTTGATTATGCTTGTCACCTTTGTCGGGTTCATCGGGCTACTGACTTTCACTGTCGTCATCCTACAGACGTACAAGTCAGCTCGATTCCACAAGATCCTGTCTCACTTTGTTCACAGCGGTTGCCTCACGAGGTACGTCCGCACTCTTAAAAGCCGCCTTCTCGTCCAGAGGACACACCGCAAGATGCAAGTCAGGAGGTACGTTGTCTTGCGACAGTCGAGGTGTCTTAGGAACCGGCAGCCTGTGTTTGTGCCAACATTAGCTATGACTCGGATAGAGGAGCGTGTTGAGAGGCTGCTACAGAAGTCTGAGGAAGATAATGAGATTCTCTTTGATGATCAAAGAAAGCTTGTCAGAACTGTCATTCGTGAGTATGCTCTGCTGAAAGCTCTGAAGAGAACAGCCTCGGTTAAATGAATACTGCAAATTTCTTCACAAACTTAAAATATGCCCATTTGTATTACAAGTAAAGTTGTATCATTGTACATAAATCATTTCTCTTGAAAAAAAAAAATTACCCCAAAATACAATTCACATTTTGGGGACTGAAGTGTATGTTATAGACCTAATAGGTAATTATTAATTTTGATTAAAACAACGCCATGTGTTGCTGTGAACAAAAAAAAAATTGCTAAATGTCTTTGTTTAGCATAAAAATGTCTGAAGTTCACGTAATGGTTTGTATACTTGCAGACCTATCAATATTATTTTCAAAATTCCATCCCAGTTTCCTTAGAAAAGAGATGTCAGTCCTCTTAGGGTCAAGGTTCCTTTTTTAGAATTAAGAGAAGAACATGTACATTAAGCAGATAAGAAAATGTAGATTAAAAGTTGACTTCAGCTTGTGTACTTGCTGTTCATGTAAAAACAAAACTTTATGGAAATTTCCAACTTACTGTTCCTGCACTCCCCGTTGCCTTGAAGCTGTTGTTGTTCAGATATTTCACTTATCAATTTCGGTAATGGTTTGAATAATGTAATGGGTTTTTTTTTAAGGTTGGTTCAGTGTAGTTGGCATGTAAGACCGCCCTCTACTTTTGAGCTCAACACTCAATATCTGTTTGATTTATTTCCCCTGATTTTGTGGAAAATGACACTCGCAAATCATCCACAAAGAGAAGAAGTTTATGGTGACTCAAGATAGACAATAGAAAGAAAATTCATACAAAAAAATGCTCAGTTTGTTCAAATTTGTTCAGTAATCAAATTAATTTCCACCAATTAAGAACAACTACAGAAATATAGAACTAGCTGATTAGCAATGTATTCCTACTTACAAAATTACTTTAAAGGACTCTATTAATCACGTCTCAAATGTTTTTCTGTTATTAAAAATCACTGTAAGATTATTGATGTCTACAAAACTTACTGTTGATTTTATTGCTAATGTGTTTCAAATTGTTATACTTCAGATTTATCAATTTAAAAAGGCAGTGTACATAAATGTTGACCATTATGAATTTTCAATTTTTGAGGCTTTTGTACAATTGTTGGCACTTCATTTCATGTTAATCAACCTGATTTTTATTTTATGCTCTTCATGGCAAACAGTTTGTAGCAAATAATGTTTGACTTGTAATTTGAGTTGCTCTGGTTTATGGTTAGATGGTTTTATTGTTAATAATTATGAAAAGAATACTTTTTTCCCCCTTTTCAAAAATAAGGTACCATGACATTTGATGAATTTGAAGTTAAAGTTGAAAATTTTGTTACAATGAAATCTAGTTTTGAATTTGTCATTATCTACAGAATGCCTTCATAACTAAAGTGTGGTTTACTGAAGATTTGATACCTGATTGTAATCAATAATTTGATATAAAGCGATGGATTGATCGGTCAATAAATGAGCAGTTAATAATAAAGCAATCTTTCAGACATATCGATTGTCATCAATTAATCAAACTTGTTTGTTAACAAACCAACTCAGTCACTGATGAGGAGTCAGGTTGGTGTAGCGGTACTTCCTCGCCTTCCACCGCTATGACCCGGGTTTCGAATCCCGCCTGGGCCAATATGTGGATTGGGTTTCCAGGCCCTACCAGATTCCGGGGGTTTTCCCCAGAATATTCTTCTGGGGTTTTCTTACCACACCTCAAACTATGATTTCTTGACATTGTCTTCTCTTTAGTGGGCCCCATGGGAGAGCGGTAGATTACCCAGTTAAAAAATAAGAGTGAAATAAATAAATAGATGTTTATTACCAGGAACGAACAGACGAACGCGCATTATTTTATGCCATTATTTCATTCCTTCACAAATCATTCACCTGATCTCATTTCATCAAATTTTTCACCAATCCAACGGTGATTGTGCGAAAATGAGGCATCTTTTAACCTTTCGGCTGACACCATTTCGAGTTGACAATTAACTCAAGTTGTGATCGCACCGCCTTCTTGAGACACGCGATATCGAAGTTTTGGAAAAACAAGGCAAAAAAAAAACCGCCATCCTTTTAACATCAGCGCACAGATGAAACCCGACTCGGAATTCCTTCCTTTTCGAAGCCGGGGTCCCTGTTGTATATCACCGCTTACGGTTATTAGTGCGTACACTCATTAAGGGCCAGTTATCGAATATCGGTGTGTATGACGCGCGAAGGGCTTACACCTGACTGACTGATGATAGGCGGTATATCACATCTGAAGTCCTGCCTCGCACCGACTGCCACTCGAGCGGCACCCTTCCAAAAGAGGCAAAAGTAATAACGAATTGTTCTCTCGTAAAATGCGTGTAATTGAACATCGATCTATTTACCGCTGTCCTGGTGAATTTTGTGTTTTTGTGTAGTGTGCCGGCAGCGAAAGTGTGCGCCGGAATGCCCTAGTATAGATCTGCCATGTTTCGTCATCATTAGCCTAGCCGTGAAACATTTTGCGTGAAGAGCATTGCACTTATTGCCTTTTAAGGTACAATGTGCACATCTTATAATGGTACAAAGCGATTTTCTAAGGAAATGTCGCACTCAGTTAGTCCGGTTTGAGAAAAAAAATGTCTATCTGACCGTAACATTAAGTACACTCCGAAAATTGTGTTTAGCAATGAAACACACTCTAACTATCACTTGTAAACATGTTTAGAAGCCAAACATTACTAGTCATGCAAATTCCTAAACATCAGTGACAGTTGCTACACATACCTATCCATCAATACTTTAAACATGTTTAGCACTAAAGCACGTTTACAAAGTAAGGGCTAAACGATACGTTTACCAAAAACAATGATAATTTGGGGAGGTTTTCATGTTATCTGTTTGCGATTTCATGTATAAGTTCTTAACCTAGGACTTTGAAAATCTGTTCCTTTTTTTTTTTCCTGCCTGTGGTTTATACTACTCTGTAAATTCCAAAGAGTGAAATTGAGAGTGGAATGTTTTAGAGTGAAAACTCACTCTCATTTTCAATTGAAATAGTCTGAAAAAAAAGAACCACCTCAGATGAGGCTCGAGTGAAAACTCGATCTTTACGATTGAAGGAATTTCACTCTTAAACGTCTAGTCCCTAGTTTCCGACTGTGTGATTGAATCTTCACTCGAAAGAGTGAATTTTCACTCTGGGGAATTTGGAGAGTAGTCATGGTTTTATGACATACGTACGAGGATCATCTCCGTTGGACTACCGTTTGTTATTGCTGTTTGAACTTTTCCAATTTTATGAAACCTTTTAGTTTTAGTTTTTAATTATTTGTTACAAGTCCCTACCCTTTACATCCTTCGTTGCCGTTTAATATCGTTGCCGTTGAAGAGCTTCCAAGTTCAATTAGCTCCTTGTGATATTCCGTGTGCATTGTTGAAACCAAACAGCGAAGATTTATGAAGCATTTAAAAGCCCCCTTCCCAAGTCTCCCCCCTCTCTATCCCCCCCTCCCACTCCCTATGCCACTCCCCGAGAAATGGGTCATAGACATAAGGAGGGCCGCGTTGGTATGGTTGATGTCAAGCAACCTTTGGCATCGTAAGGTTTGGTCTCAAAGTAATTGTGAACCACTGTCCTCTCGACCCATGATTCAGCGTGGTACACTCGATTACAAACCGCCCTGTGACATGTACGTCATAGAAGGAGCGTTAAAAAAACCTGGAGGGGAATCGATACGCCCGAATCGGAGGGCTAAAATGGATGGGACCATCATCGATCACTCTAACACCCGAGGACCATCCACCGAGACGCCAGACGGGCCCTGCAATTGCATTACAACCCTGTCAATCACTCAACGAATATAGATACCTAAACAGTAGAAAGACAAAACCACGCCGGTGCCTCGGAGAGACATCACCGATCCTCGGGGGCCTGAATGGTGGAGAAAATTGAATCGGTGGGAATGGCAAGGTTTCTTTTTTAATTCATAAATCATTTTGTCACCACGAAGTTACACACGTGAAATTAGGTCATCGTTAATCGCACTTCGTGACGTATTACCGTATGACAGTTTTTGAAGCAGGTTGATTTTGCTGGATGAAGTGACGTAAAAACGGGTTCAAAGCTTAAATAGATCACATGACTCAAAATGAGGTTCACAAGTGTGATGATGTTGCGTCAGTAAAAGACGTCATAAACCTTTAATATTTTAAAGGTTCTTGTATTAAAATTGAGGCGAGTGTTATATGGTCCGTGCGATGCTTTTTTCTTAGAAACTCATTTCGTGCACCTTTCTACTCTTAAATGTATGAAAACTATTGGATATCCCATTTTGTTAAGTTTATTGAAAAGTGCACTTCTTTAAACATTAAAAAATGTCCATGCTTTTCCGGACAACTGAGGCCGCTGTTGATGTGACGTCATTTCAAGAAGACACTGTTCAGTTTAGGGCTTATCTGTTCAAGTTGTGAACCCAAAAGTTGCTCATTGAAAACATTATTTTGCGAGAAAAGTTTGCTCATTGGCTTTACTGCCGTGTTTTGACACAACAACAAATCACCAAAGAAAATTTACGACAGCGAGATATCCAAAATTCTGGCAACTTTTGGTGCTAAAATTGCTGTAACATTGAGGTTTCTGCCCAGAAAGATCACAGTTTTGCTCATGAATATGGAAATTGGTATTAACAGAAAACAAAAAAGGCACCAAAATACCCTTGAAAGTGGCAACACGAAAATTGTAAATAAGGTTAAATGGGACACAAAGGTGCATTTTCAAGGATCGCATTACATTGCATTACACTTGAACGAATCAGTTCTTTTATTCAAGTGCTCCAGAAAAGCACTGTTGAAAAGGTACAACCATGTTAAAACACTTTATTGCAATTCAATCACCGCCTCGGAACAATGCTATGGAACGGTTCATAGACAAACCACTTAACATACTTTGTAAAAGATTGTCGCAGAAAAAAAAGGACCGGCTCTAAATGAAACAAATTGATTTCAAATTCATCTCCCACTTTTCTCGTTTCCAAACAAACTATCCCTACAGGAATTCAGCGTGCCTCATACACCTTCCACTTCACCGATGGCCTTGTCGACGTTTTCTTGATTCACAAAATGTGTTCTGGGACCCGAGCCACCTGGCTCCCCACGCGCAGCTGGCCGGTATAGCAGACGAAGCCAGCCTCCTAGATTCGTGTTCGCACGCCCCGCACGCTCCCAAGAAACTTCCCGTAAATACTAGAATTTCGTCCCGTGAGATTCTTCCCAGAAGCGGCTTTGCTGCATTGCATGGTTGGTCAGTAAGTGCCGCGTTTGGGTCTGGCTAAACAGATTGAATCGTCTTTTGGCCCGAGGAAAAAATTGCCCCTTGTTTTTTTGTTTTTTTTTTAAATCAAAAAGGAAAACCAATCGAGCATAATAACGCTTAGGGTATCATCCGACATCCTAAGATTTTTTCTCGCTTTCTAAATGGGCGAAGATTTAAATATTGATCAAAATTAGTTAAACCTTCTGACTCGGGAGTGAAATATACGAAATAACGTCTTAACGGAAATGAGGAATATAATGTAATGCCTAATATTGGTCTTTTTTGTTTCAATATTAACCCCCCAAAACTGTTTTTTGTATGTCTTATACAAGTCATCGTTCAGGTATATTTTCAGGGAAAATATTCAAGTTATCAGATTCCCTATTGAAACCATTACATCCCATTTTCCATAAGATATCGAAGCGTTATCGTCTGAACCTTGAAATGTGCGCATTTCACGAGATGGTAGCACTGTTCTTATTGTAGCATTGACCGTATAGGCGTTTCATTATGTGCAGGTTGGTGTTTTGTGAGGAAAAACGGCTGTGCAGCATTGCCGCGTGTCTTGCTCGCCACCGTGTTACATCTGTTCTTATTAGGATCTTAAAAATTACTTCTCACTGAAGAAACTGTATTACTTTTATTTTACTTGGGAAAAATGGAAATGGAAATTCTCCTTGATTGTGTTCCTTATTGTATTTTATGTAACGAAATTGGATTTCTCGAGGTACGGGAGGTGAGCCGTGTTATTGTGGGCCAGCAGGCTCTACGATGGGCCCCGTGCGAGATAGAGGACACTTTCGAGACCCCCGTGGACGCGTGTGCGTATACTGGTACTGGTTCGAGCGCGTATATAGCGCGAAGTACAATACGCAAGACATTTTATTCTGAATGTGCACAAGGCCATAGCGTCTTCGCGTGAGCGTCGGGCGTTGTCGGCACTGCGTTCGAATGTCACTCCAAGTGGTCTCCCCAAACCCTCCCGTTCTTACCGTTGAGGGGGTACTTGTGCACGGAGCCGAATGCACAGTCGTTATCGGCATGGGTTAATTTCACGGAGCTATAGCACAGAACATTGCTGATGTCATTATGCCTATTGTTTTTGACTGGTTCTATTTTTACATAATATGTTATGTTCGGCAACTCAATCACTTGCCGCAGAATGAGCCTTGGCCGTCGGTAAAAAAAAATATGGATGAGTTCCCTTGCATCAGCTGGACATCTTACAAGAGACTCGGCTATTTCAGTGGTTGCATGGGTTTGGTACAACAAATATAATAATAGAACTATATAGCAGGGTTTTTTTGGGGGGGGGGATGTTACAAAATATTACAGAACACATAATGGAAGATTATGGTTTCGAAAATAGATGAAACGTTTGCTTATAATAATCTATGTTGTAATTCAGCCTTGGGGACGCAAGTAATGAAACGAACCCTCTGACAATACAATGCACTTAATGATCATGAGATTTACCATTAAAACGGTACTAATTATTGTCTCGAAACGTCTCCGATGGGCTAATGTTCAACTAGACTATAGAGATCCTATCTCCATGCCTAGACATCCAACAACCATTTAATCGGAATCGTGGAGTTAATATTGCACGTACGATCAAGCATTAAAATCCACGAAAGAATGCCTGTAGAGTAGAACTCTTTTGCTGCACCGAACGCTCCGATCTGAGCAATGTTTGGTTTGAAGAAATGACTCTCATTGTTTCATTTTGTTCACCTCTTAAAAGTGCATTGCCATTGGGCGAGTAATTTCCTCCAGATAATTATGATCAGACTGGTGGTCCATCCATCACGACGCGACAGGAGTACATGAAAATAACATCGCAGCAGGCAGGGTGACGGTGTTTGTTTTGGTATGAAAAAAAAAACCACCCAACTTTTAATATCGACGTTGTTTCATCCGTAGCAGCAAGATGAAATGATTCGTTGATAAGCCGTGGAAGCTATAGGCCTCAGGCTACTGATTTTGTTTTCGAGTGACGTTTTCGTTTTTCTGATGAAATTCAAACAACCCCGTGCGATATGTTTCCGTAACATTTCCGTTTATACAATGCGCCATGCAATACACGGTAGCGCGAGTTGGTAGCGCATCCTTTGTCCTACTTCATTCATAATGGGAGATACGTGATCGTAACTAAAGTTACCCAAACCACATAACCGCAGTTCGCAGGTTGAGGCTTCCGATTCATTTTACGCGCAAACATTAATATGAAAACACTGGGCACAAGTTGGGTTTATGAACCAATTTACAGCGAATCAACCTTGATGACTCATACCAAAATAGATGCGTGCACTTTATGTGCGTGCTTTCAGCTCTACCTTGATACACAAGAAAGGCGGCCGTCAGTACCCACTGCAGACCCATCATTACAACAGTTATGCGAAAACTGACCAAATTAAGAATTGTCTAGAAACTTCAAGTTCACACTTGGTTAAATCAGTCTCATCAGGAGTGGCATAATGCCAAAGAAAAGTATAGCTAGATATAGTTTCAATTCAATTCCGCAGTGGCAGATCTACCGGGGGGGGGGGGTGAGGCGGTTTACTGTTCCCACCCCCCTTGGGCGGCATAAAAGGCACTGACAATAAATATCACATGCCTGCTAAACCCCGCCTCTAAGTTGACAACGAAACCCTCCCCTCTTGAGCCACACGTGGATCCACCCCTGTTGAGGCCTGTATGGGGCGGGGCATGACCCCCTGCAAGGACGGATGGGGGGGGGGGGCAACGGGGCCATTCCCCCTCCCCCAAAAAGAGAACCCAATTTTCTTTAAGTGACGTCGCAAGAAAGGCAGGCACTTTGTACACCACCATCTTTTCCTCCAAAAAATGTGGCTAAAGTAGTCAGTATAATTGCCTCTGATCGCACCACAGAGCATCTAGAATCAAACAAAAATTCGGGGCCCTTCAGCGGGCCCCAAACCCCACGCCGTAATATTTTGGACCCCCACTTTTTGGGGGACCAAAATTACCTAACAATTTTTTGCCCCCCCCCCCCAAAAAAATTAGTGTTCTGGATCAGCCCTGGCCTTGGCCCTCTGTGGCCCCCTTTGAGTCCACGACACAAAAACCACATGCCTCCTTAGCCCCCTTTTGGCGGTTAACACCCCTAGAGAGGGGCTCTCTCTCCCCTCTCTCCTCCTCTCTCTCACTTGAGCCAAACCCTGATCCACCTCTGTATAACGACCTCTTGGGGTGTAGCATGGCCATCTGTGGCCCCCGTATCTACTAGTGTTGCCAGTCAGTAAAACCGTTGCTATGGAGATAATGATCTCACTCTACAAACGGGTAAAATAAAAACATTTCGTTCCACACTCGAAAAAAAATCATTTCAACCATTTTAGTAAACTTTTCCTTGATCCCTTGTAAAGAATTAAATAAGCCAAAATCCCTCTTTCACTGTCTAGAGTGAGACAAAAGTCTAACAAGTTAACAACACCTGTACAGAAAATAAATGATATGCCTTTGTGCATCGGAGCGTCAGTAGATTGCTCATAATACAACCTCCGGCGGAAAAAACAACGAGCAGTGATTAGTCTGCCCAAGCCGATGACCCGTGGGTATTTAACCGATAACAGACACGGACGAATGACGAGATGGTGGCAGCCAATTTACTTGATTACCGCGATCGAGTGCTGCCGTTGACCGCTTAGAGCGTTTCATCCGCCCTCTTCTCTCGACCAGCGAAGCAGGTCTGTCGTCTCAATCTGTATAGCCTCATCCTTCAACGCCCCGTAACTGCCCACCAGGCGACTATTATCGCCTACCCAAAACAACAACTCAAAAAAATGAACTAGCTAGAACTCTGTTATTAAATGCATATAAGGATCATTTGTTTTTCATGCATTTTGTTCCTTTCCAATAATAACACCACTCAATATCCAAAGTGGAACGATCAAAACCTAACCTGTTTAAGTTTACAGTGGATACAAACAGTGAAAAAACATGCACAAATTAACCTTTTGATCACGATACTCGATTTCGTCTATAACACTCTTTTATTTCCAAAAATTAGTCAATCATGACTGATCGCTGAAAATCACCTACATTTTTTATTTCTTCTAAATGACAGCAAACCAGACAGAATAATTTCACAGTACGATCTTTTTAATCCAAGTGAGCTTTTCGATAATAATTCGGTATGTTAAGGTCCTACATGTATGTCTCAAAAGGTACGCAGGTTCATTTGCTTTTTTGTGCATTTTAATTTATTTTTCGTTTAAAGGTAGAGTATATCATTTGTCGTTGTGCAGTTGTTTTCGTTTGAAGCAACAAAAGTGCTCAAAATCGGAAAAAACATCTGCACAATTTGTTTGGTCCCGTAGGTGAATTCCGTTTCACAGTTGAAAAGTACAGACAGTTTTCGTAGCCTGACTTTTAGTGTGGTGTTTGGGTTGATAGTTGGTTGACTAATTTGCAACCGACATTATTTCGACAAAAAAAACATTAATTATACTCATACGTTGTTTTTTATAGACAAATTTATACAATCAATACCTTGATTTCAACTGATATGACTTCTTAATTCAACTGCTTTAGTCCCGCTTTTGTTGCCACGAACCTTTGTTCTCCAACGGGAGGATTCTCGCCGAGGTACTGAGCCACATTCCTGACCAGTGAAATGAACGTTGGAATTTCTGCCCTCGTTAAGATTCTGAATTCCAGTTTCCTGGGGTGTGGTCCGTCGAGCTAGCTGCCGTTCCGCCTGTTTGGAAGATACCCCACCATAAAAGGCCAGGAGTGGAAGAAAAAAGTCGAGAAACAATTTCCCCACTCGTGTTTAGAATGCACAACCTGTTGAAAAGACTTATTTGGAGAAGGCTCTGTGTGAAATTGGACAAAAGGGTGTCTTGTAGGCGTCCTCCATAGTGTACACAGTATGCAGTCACACATGGTGAACACACATACCGCCATTTCTGGATCATTTTCACTAAACTTCTCTCACATAACTCTGAACTAAGAGGTTGTACCATGTGTGGAGACAGTTCTGATCAGGGAACTTGTTTTATTGCCGGACTTTTATCATCCCTGGTCTTTTATGGTTGGGTGTGATGTCGAAATCTTTCCCGATTCGATTTTCACCACCAGCTTGGCCATTCCCTGACCGCTACTTCTTGGTGCAGTTCCCGTCAGAGCCACGCCCGTTGGTTGTGGCCTATCGGTCAATCGTCTGTCCCGGTCTGCTCCAAGCCCCGCAATTCACCACACCCAACTCCTGGTCTCGGATGTCGCGGTTCAAGATCAAGCTCCATTATTCAAACACACCTCCTCGTGACTTCTGAACCGTCTCACCAGATCACTCGAGATCCGGATTCCACCGTTATCAAGGTACCTCCCCTCTAGTTTATTTATTGTAAGCTAATCATTACTTACTAAAAATTAGTTTGTATGTTGTATGTATTAAACGCATCCTAATATCATGAAGGTCTGCATGTTGAGGGGAGCAGCATGATGAAGTTTACGGTCACATGCATGTATCAATTAACTCGTTTGTGAGTTTGTGAGGCTCTGCATATAAACAAACTCAACGTTAATTGCCTGTCGTCGGGAGACTGCAGTCCACACACGGTGTAAGGACGTGGGCACGCGAAACGATTTATTTCAATAATTACAAAGTATCAAAAAGACAAGACACGTTGATTGTTGCGTCTGTATCAAAATATATGTTAGGCTATAGGCCTATAGTAACATATAATATTCTTTGAAGGATGAAATCTAATTTATATACACACAATTTTCGCGCTCGAAATACTACACCGTTTGGGTAAGGCATGGAAGACTGCTGCAAACTGCTCATGGAGTAAATCGACTTGAACAATAGGTTATAGAGGAGGGTTGATTATTCTCTGATAACATCAGAATCTTGTCTTTGAGTATAAAGCTCTGGATCTAAACGTCGATGCTGAATGTAAATTACTGTTGGCTTACGGAAAACAAACCCAATCATACAACCATGCACTCCACCCACCGCCTTTTATCGCACACAACAGCTTTAAGACAACTTGCATGCGTATATACCCACGTCATTTGCAAGGGATTCCTGGCCTGATTGCAATCTTGAAAAACTTACAATGCCCCACCGAGTTTCGCTCTCTCGCGAGCAGCAATGTAGCCCTTCATCAACAAGGCTAGCAAGGAAAGGGTAATCGAGAACTCCCCCCCCCCTCCGCCCCCTGTTTGAGTCATCAGATGGCTCGACTCTCCCCTTATGTTACCCTTTCTCTGTTTTAAGCTCAGCGATCCGGAATTAAGATATCTCATTGCACTTAACGGTCGGTTGAGTTTTGAGTGCCGGGGTCTGCGACTTGTATTTCTGCAAGAAAAAGAGAAAATGGGCTTCCCAAATTACCCGAGCTACACTTGCTGGTTGAGATCTGTGGAATCATTCACAATACGTATGAGCCATTAACGCTGCAATTCGCCTAAATTAATTATACATTAAATAAGACTTATCCGGATTCATTAGGCCTATACTTGTTTCTTTATAAGCTTGGTTTTGTATCATTTTCTTTACTTTAGAAAATAATATTCAACTTGGACATTTCTTTGATTGTGCTGTATCACACTTTGACTTCGTTACTAGTTCGCTCCTCAGTTGACAAAACCAATTCTCATCCACGACGGTCTAATTTATCTCCGCATAAACCTTCATGATTGTCGAAAATTATCATTAGTTTCCTAGCCTTTGCTCTTCCGGTCTTGACCCTATAACTCCCAAACACGAATATGTGCCCTGTAGCCTACCATCTCCAAATCACACCAACGCAAACACCCTTCGAATTCCCCGGTCCTCGGAAAAACCAGGACGACCCAAAAATTGTAAATAAAACCCCGGTCACTCGTGGTGTCTTAATGACCATGACGCACATTTACTATCGGGCGCGCGATGATCCAATGGTTATGGTTATTTGATAGGGTTGTACCACAACTCAATATTAATTCTTTCGGTGTGGGTTTTTTTTTTATGAAGAAGGAACCCCAATCGAGTTGATTATAAATGGCTTTCAGTCTTGTCACGCCCATTAAGGTTGCTAGTCAACCAAGCGAAAAAATAGTCCTATATGAGCACCGAAATTGTTGGATATCCGTCTCACAGTGTTGCCGACCAACGATACGATATGAAATATTGCTGAAACAGTGAATTATGAAGTTTTCTCAATTTGGCGGGCATTTTCTGCAAGCTTTGATGAGAGCGTGTATATATTATAAACTTATACGGCAGACCTATCGCCTCAAGATTACTGACGAATTCAAGATAAGGAAAGCCTAGTAGAGCTGGTCCCAGAGTGCACAAAATTCTATTCAGTTGAATCAAAGTGGTTATTCACGAGAAGACTTTACATGTATTTGGTCTACACAATAGGTCAGATTTAGCCCACACTGAAAAATTGCCTGGGTTAATTTTACCAAAGAAAGGGTGAAAACTGGAACTACCCAAACTTGGGTTGTTCTATAACCAATTGTTTGGGTTATAATTTTTGCTAAATTCAACCAAAACTTGTAGTCATACAAGAACAAATTAAATTTGGTCTTTAATGACCACAAGTTTTGGTTACATTTAGCAGAAATTCTAACCCAAACAATTGGTTATAGAACAACCCAAGATTGGGTAGTTCCAGTTTTCACCCTTTCTTTGGTAAAATTAACCCAGGCAATTTTTCAGTGCATGTTTTACGTTAAAGGGCCCATGTAATGTAAATTTTTTTAAACGCAATCCTTGGAAATGTACCTTTGTACCCCGTTGAATCTTATTTTCAATTTCCGTTTTGCCATTTACAAGGGTATTTTGGTTGTTATGTTAATAAAGATTTCCATATTCATGAGCAAAAGTGTGATGTCATTTCAGGCAGAAACATTTATGGTACATAATACAGCTATTTCAGCACCACAAGTTGCCAGCATTTTAACTACGATGCTGTTGTAAATTTTCTTTTCTTTGGTGATTCGATGTTGTGTCGGTACATGGTAATAAGCCAATGAGCAAAATTCTCACAAATGTTTTAATGAGCAATGTTGGGTTCACATTGTGAACAGGAAACTCCTAACTGAACAGCGTCTTCCTTCAAATGACATCACAGCAACAACGCCCTCAGGTGTCCGGAAAAGCTTGCACAATTTCAAACGTTCAAACAATAAGTGCACTGTTCAACAAAATCAACCACAAAAGGAATGTCAGATAGTTTCATGCATGATTTATGAAGAGTAGAAAGTTCACAAAATGTGTTCCTAAGAAAAATCATGATACGGACGCTTCATGGGGTAATCCTATAATACTAAAGCGCTGCCAAGCTCTCTGCACTTAAGTCTACAACCAGTATAATTCACAAGTGACAGTCGGGGAGTCAGTCAGTCGGGGAGTCAGTCAGTCAGTCAGTCAGATATGTACAAAAAAGAGAGGACATTATAGGTCCCCTGGGGCCAACAATCATACGACGTTTTATACACGCAGCCTAGCTAAAGGTGTTTGACCGGTTTGGCAATGTGAAAAAAGTGACGTGCTTTATAAAGACAGACTGCTTTCTAGTTCACAAATGCTTTCTAGTTCACAAATGTAAAGAAATAGGACTGCTGGATTTCTTTCTTCAACCATGCCCGAATCAGATATAATCCAGGAATATTATAGGCTGTATGCTTATTGAACACATACCACTGAAGTATAATATTGGGCATAAGCCATTTCTCTATAGTAGCGACCTTCTAGCGAAATCCAACGAAATCCAGACTGTGAAACCAAAAATATTGTTGGACAATCGTAAACAACTTTTGTAATCTTTTACTTTGTTGTTAACCATTTTAAGAGCAGGCTGTTCCCCTTTTTGTTTGGTTGTGCTGGATTCTAAAGAGTGCCAAACTTGAAGAAAAGGCATTCTTGCTAACAATGCTATGCTCCGATAATCATGTCCATAATCCATTTTATATGGAACTCGTATTTACGGCAGAAGAGGAACGAACGGTGGGAAGAAATTTCGCTTCCCCGTTTGAATGGATCCAAAAGGGAGATTAAATTGATCTTGATGACTATAGGTATGAATTTAATTTTCCACACCTGTGCTGATATATAAAACTACACGTATTGACGTGCTTCGGGCATGACCGAAAGTTATTGAAAGTCAAAATGTCCAGGCCCAACGAAAACTCAAGCTCCGCTTTTTCCAAGACTGAAACTCAATTAGTTACGACGATCTTGTTAACACCATATTCAATTGTATCCGACACAATGTCCCTCGTATTACTATTAATTTACTCGTCATCCCGGGTTTGTAAAGGTGTTCGAAGAACAGAATGAGTAAAGGTGTCTGTCCCGTCATGAAACTCGAAACCGTGCCCAGGGGAGACAGTGTCGAAACGGCCAGTTCAATTTAGTTTGCAAGTCACCATAAAACGTTAAAGTCAACGATATGAAATGCTTCCTTGTCTACCTTACCAACTTTGGTGTTGCATTTCATAAACCACCCAGAGTCAGAACACAGTAATTAATCAATTGGTTTATCCCCATCGCTTCGTTCGAAATTTATCTCTCCCCCTCACCAACCCCCCCCCCCTCATGTTGAATTTCCCGCTATCAAATGACAAAGCCTTCTTGTGTTCTCTCATCTCTTGCTGTCCGAGGATGAAGACGATTGTAGGAAGTAAACGATTTTATCGACTAACTGGAACCTGCCTCGAGTGCGTCCTTCCACAAATAATAGCGTAGACTCCGACATTGGATACTTGGTTAATGGCTGCGCTCTCTGGGCTTTCGTCCCGATACGTGACCTTTTATTATATACGCCAGCCCGCCAAGTGCGGTTCATCCCTCCTCTCCAAGATGCAAGTGATTCCCTTGAAATTCTAGACAGCATTTGCCTCGTCACGCGGTGCATTCTGTTTACTCTGCCAAAAATATTCTGCCCGGATGATAAGCTTATATTAAGCGGAATCATTTACTTGGAGCGCGGAGTTATCATCTGACGAGATTCCGAAGATGTAACACCGGAAATTGCCGGCATCGAACAATAAGAACAGAGGACGGGTGTTTTCCTAAAGAGTATTGTGTGTCTTCCTGGTGCTTATTTTCTGTCAATCTTCTTGTTAATGTTTTACTTTTTTTCATCCCCTAGCCGCATCCTTGTATTATGTTTGACATTCTGGGGCATATGATATTGAGCAAGATGCCTCCCTGTATAAGAGTAACTTTACTAGTTCACATGTTGCCTTTTACCCCTATATGTTCCGATTGTATGACGTCAAACTTTTGCATGACCTTACATCACCGCGATCGGCCACCATTGCAGTAGGCAAAAGTTTAGTTAGCAACCACGTCGTACGCTGTAAACTAGGCAGTAGGACTCATTTTCATGTAAACTAACTGCGAATTCTTTATCAAAATATGGCTTAAAGGGAATATACATCATTTGCTTTTGCTGTAATTTTCAGAAATGGATGGAATTGGGGGGTTGGAAATATATAGCAAATATAGTTACACTGAATTTTTTTGAGGTTTTGGGTTCGAAAATGCTATAAAAACCAAGAAAAACAATCATTTTCCTGTAGTCTGGTTCCCTGACTCCATTTAAGAAGAAACAGAGCAGTTTACATACATTTGGGAATTGTAAGGTCAGGGAACCAGTTTAGCTGGCTTGTACCCGTTCATAGGTGTGTAATCGATTACAAACAAGTGCGATGGCCAATGGGGGCCAGTATTTGAAAAAAAAAACAGTTTTTTTTCCCAACGCTGGTCGGCCGACCAGCATTGGAAATTTGATACCAAAATACGACTTTTCTTGAAAATGACGGTATACCAGGTGCTATGATTTTACAGGATGCTTTACACTGTCATTCACTAACAGTCCAGCAAGGTATTTCAAAACGATTTGGTAGTTTTATTTTTTGATGTTTGCAAATGTTGTATTTTCCCTTTAATGGTCACTTATTGTGCCGTGTACGGTTGTCATAATCGAGCCGACCCAGCAGTGGGTGTTTACTCCCCGTTTTTCTCACAGTTTTTGCCGTCCATCACAGCTTGGAAGGCTTGCCAGCTACTTATAGTGAGGTGGTTTATGGTTGGAATCGTGACCGACTGGTCCAAACCACTGATCTCTATTATAAAGACTGGATAGCTAATAAAGAGCCGCACAATGAATGAATTTGACGCCATATTGGTGAGACCGGCATGTGATCTACAAAGGACAAGTTGCCGTTTTTATAGACAGCATGATTTCTTCTGTAACGTCGCGGTTCACTTGACTTATATTTTGACCACCACCACTGACCAAGGTTAACTACAGTTTTTCTAACGTCGTGGTTACTAAAATGCCGCAAATATCACTTTTTCGGCGTTTTGAAATAATAATCACTACGGAAATGTGTCCCTTTTAGAACATCATAATATGTGTACGTGAACAAAATACGCGTCAACTGTTGATACAACGCGCGCGTATTTACGCGTAGAACGTTCGTATTATACGCGGCCATCTTCGTGAGACCGGGGGCGAATTGGTCAATATGTAAAGTCTACTGTGTGAATGTTGTATGCATATCCGCTATCCAGTGGTCCAAACCACCAAACTTGGCAGAGACTTCGTATAGCCCCAGAGAAGATATTTAGAAGGTGTGACACCTGAAATTATTTTGGAAAGGGTGCCTTATTTGCATAAATCGTAAATAGCTGCCGTGTAATATATTTATTCCCATATTTTGGTATATATACATGTATATATACATTTTAAAAAATACCAAAATATGGGAATAAATATATGGCAGCTATTTACGATTTGTGCAAATAAGGCACCCATCACAAAAGAATTTCAGGTGTCACCCCTTCTAAATTTCTTCTCTAGGACTATAAGAAACTATCTGCCAAGTTTGATGCTTTGAACCAGTCGGTCAAGATCTTGTCAAACATTGGATCTAAGCCACTTGACTATACTGCGTGCGGCGCTATACGATCTTTGCCTATTCTACAATAGCGACGCTGACTTTCCGGTACTCGGATGTAGGCCGGGTCATGAGAGCATCTCTCCCATGATGTCTTGTCCTCAATCTATAAACAATCTTCTTGAAGTCTGATGGCTTATTAAATTCCTACTGTAAACTCTTAAAGATGCTCTCCCGTGCTGTTCAACGCATTTGTTATTGTTCTCAAGAATTTTCTATTTGTATGTTTTAATTAAACGGATAAAGCTTGTTGGATTTTGTTTTTAAACCTCTGAAAATACGTTTTATTCTGGGCTGCTTCTGCGACCATAAAGCACATGAATTATTTTTAATGTTGTCTTTTCTATGTTTTACTGGGACGTGTTCCTTCAATCACGACTGTTTTACAGAATTATTGTTTGAAAAGTGTGTGTCGAAGCGCAAATGTCTCTCTCTGTCGTCACTCTGTGTTTGGTGTTGAAAACATGTTGGATTATCGTTGGCTTAATACATGCCAAAGAGTCAATTTTATTTGCAGAGTGACGCGCCGCTTTTTTGATACTCTGAATATGTATGAAGATAAAGCGCATCCGCGACAGCAGACAATTCACTCAGGTGGACTCGTATCAGATGGCATCAGTGCGTTCAAAAAGAAAATAGTTCCATGCACTTTCTCAGGATTCCGAGGTATCCCTACAGCAGTGCGGCATCCAACCTTGACATTTAAAACTCCTTTGCCTCATCTCCGTCTACCAGACGAAGACTTGCCGAAACGTGCTTTCGTTCATATTGACGTCACGAGAAATTCATCCAATGGAACAAAAAAAACACTCATGCTGAAAAAAAATTGTCTCAACTTTTTCAGAGTAATTGTAACATCAGTGGAGAAGAGCGTTGAACTTGTCACAGTGTCAGAACGAATTAAGGGTAAACATTTGCACAAGAACCGCTCTATCGTTTGACGCTCCTGCCGCGTTTATTGTCCCCTCGTCTTGGAGAATCATATTTATTGGGCACGACGGCCGACTCATAGGTAATCACGAAGGCTCTGTCCAGATTAATGAAATAATTGAGGCTTGCCGATCCCTCGTTTTACGGTCCAGGTATATGAAGCGAGCGGCGACAAGACATACCGCGAGAAATATGAATATTTGCGTTGCTATCGCCATGGAGACACGAATGCTCCTTTTCCTGTTTACTGGGCAATTTGTGCTTCGGTTTTTTTTATCAGCATTCTAAATATAGATTCATATAAAACTATGACTGTAGTTTAAGGGGGGGGGTGATTTCATTAATCAGTTTATCGTTAGTGAGATCCAATCATTTGCAACTCGATTTTTACAATTACTTTTACTAATTCCTGGTATAGCCAAAATAATATGTTTATTAATCGTTAATTGGGAGATCAGTTTGTTTGTGGATGGTTCTGACGGATGTTTAAATGTATCAATTTGATTGAGTCATTTATTAGTTTTGACTTTTTATATATAAATGAAACCTATATTTATTGCACGCCCTGAATTTATAAGATAAATCCCGTAATGTCCTTTACCTTCAAACAGAATTTCTTACTGTATTTGGCTCATTGTAATATTGTGCTCTGTGCAGCTTTTTTTCACATTGAAAAACAAAAACTACAAATAAATTCACAACCCTGACTTAATTTCTGAAGGACTCAAACGCGAGTAGAAAAGGAAAACTTCTTGTTTGAGTCTGAATCCAACTGCGCCATTACAATGTTCTGCCAAGGCCGGCCTGTCCCATCTCGTCAAAATTATTTACACAACATTAGGCAACGTGTTTCGCGCGCCAGAAGCTAAATTAGTACGCCTTTGGCTCGATCCAATTTCGCTAAAGCGACCTGTAACTTTAACCGAAATCCGTCTTTGAAGGCCGGGCTTTAGACGGCCATGTCATGCGTTAATTGCGTTTTCTTTGTCATCTGCACAAACTCCATCCAGAGTGAGTGTGCCATAATGTTGTTTGCAGGAGGTTACGCTAAGGCCAATATTTATACAGGTGCATGAAGGACATTTTTCATTTTTTTTTCACTCTACAATTTTCAAGTCTGCCTTGCCTGTTTTAACATTGAATACATTATTTTGCTGTGAATTATTTCTACACCCGACAGATTTCAAGTCTGCTTTGCCCGTCTTAACATCGGATGCATTATTTTTTATAGTATATATAACCACAAATTCTTTCTTTTAATTGTATGCACACCTTTATCCTAATTACTATATTAACTAACCCCCTAGGGCCTTTTTAATAGCAACCATCCTTAATCCTCCAAAATCCTCCAAAATTGTGCACTATTGTTGAAATGAAGGATACCCAACGCCTCAATCCTTTCAAATCGTCAGACAGTCCTGCCTCAAAAAAATGCATTCATCCTCAATCCTCCAAAATCCTCCTTTTCTTCAAACACCATTCATCCTCAATCCTCCAAAATCCTCATGTTTCTCAAACACCATTCATCCTCAATCCTCCAAAATCCTAATGTTTCTCAAACACCATTCATCATCAATCCTACAAAATCCTCATGTTTCTCAAACACCATTCATCCTCAATCCTACAAAACCCTCCAAAACCGCCATGAGGGATTTTGGAGGATTGAGGAGGGTTAGGGATAGGCTATTACATAGCATTTGCCTGATTAACCGTGCTGCCCACCACTGATTTGTTGGATTCATATTCTCCTAAACATTCCCGTCAAGAAGTCCAAATGTCACGGTTATCGAACTTGTTCTAAAGAAAAATACGTGACAATAAACACAAGTTACGCATCCGCAAAAAAAGTCAAGACATTTGGGAGGTGTTCCGGATATGTACTTATATTAGACATGTTGGTCCCTATTTTGATGACTACATTAGTGAGCCTAAAAATCCCGTGGGCGCGCAGCTCCTTCAAGGTATGTAGAGGGTTTCAATTCATTAACAACTCACTAAGAGAGATTATTCCCATGGTGTTACCTTAAACCTCCCATTCATTGGGTTAAATTTCTTTTAAAGTATATACTTCTTATTACTCATCACTGGGGAGAGCCTCGAATCGCATATTAATTGAAAGTCATTAGCGTACCCCTTTGTCTAGTTTCCAGAAACGCATGTCCCCGGTCGATCGAAGGGATACTGATATAGGACATCTCGCCCCGTGGGAACGGTAAAAGCGAAGTGTATCACACGACAGAAGCGAAGGAGGAAAAAAAACAAGGTAAGATGTTTGACTCATATTCGCTGTAGTCTTTATTCAATGCTCGAGTTGTTTGTACCGACTAAGATCCAATTGCCTTGAATATACACAGTTGCCGTCTACCCACGCTAATGCTTGTTTGGCCGGCCGCATTGAGAGAGTATGCGGACCAATGTTATTGCATTTAATGAGTACAAAAAACTAAAGCCTTTCAAGCTATTTCCGAAATTCCCGGTACTCCCACGATACCCTTGCAATGATACCACCTCTACTTACATCCGCAGACACCTCGCATGCATAAAACGAATCATAAGTTTATGCTTTTTGATAGAAAATCAAATGTATTTTCTATTTACTACAAATTCACCTATTCACATACAGTTTTAAATCAGGTTAAGTGTAAACTCTATGAATACTGACTACATTAATGTTATGGTCATCAGTTGATGTAAACAATTTTGAGGAAATTGTTTCCATTCAAGGCGTGACAAATTATGACAATACACGTCTCGAGAAAAGAAGTGTATATGTCTGCATCTGCCAGTGGGTCGTAACACTCCGTCATTACTCGTCATGTTCCTGAACACGGGGGCAGAACAAAACATGGCACATCCAGGATTTGTCACATGAAGAGGCCAATCGAAGGGCTGGCCGAGGGGCTTATTTGACGCTAGGGGGCGCTCTGTCCCAATTTTTCTTTTCTTTCTTTCAACTAAGTATATCCACGAATCCGCAGAAGGAGAGGAGATGATTAGACTACACAATCGATGAAAAAAGATAGTCGCCTTCACATCTCTGATTTAATTACTTTAAAAATGCATTCTCCGCCCCCAACCCGTGCGATAACAATGCTATCATCGCTGTATAGTCCGTGAACCAGTAACTGTTTTTACAGAAAACGAGAAGGAAAAAAGATATTAATTCAAGGTAGTTTTCTACTTATGAAGATTTAATTTCCAAAACGCGATATATCAATTTGAAAAAAAAGTGACAATTTTGCACAGTGATGAAACTTTAAAGAAATAAATATAATAATAGCAGCTGTTTCTAAGCACCATTCCTCGCTTTCTCGTATTCCTCAACTTTGTGTAACTATATAACAGCTGTCGCAACTGACTTTGGGTAGCAGGGAGGGGGAAGGATTCTGAAAAAGGTAACAGAATGGCATTGATCGCGGGTTTTTTTTTTTTTGAAATACCTCTTCATATAATGCCAAACGCAAAGCTCGCCGTTACACCCGAATGAGTAACAAGATTGTTTGCTGTACCTCGGTGATTCATCACACCTACACGTACGATTCTTGTCCTTTGCTAAACCTCTTTCCACGCAAGTGTCTACCATTTTATGTGTCACTTCGGTGAGGAAATTTCGCTCCTTGGTATCGCGTTTGGGGCCCGTGATGTATGGTGATAGTGTGGCGGAGAGCCTTCTAATGTACCAAGGTGTAATGTCGACGACAGACGGTTCAACTGATCTGAAAGAAACTGGTGTCACAATCACACCAATTGCATATATTGGGAAAAAGTGCAAATCAATTAGCCTACAGAGGTTTTTTTTTTTAATGTGCCTCAAGATTTGGTGCCTTCGAGGTTTAATTATTAACAGGCCCAGTTCTCCATTTACATATTTATTCGTCCATCCCATACGTCTGTCGTGTATTTAATGAATCAATTAAATCTTAGGAATCTTGTTTTGTACGTCAGACGGTTGTTATTTAACATATAGTTTCATCACCCCTCCAACGCCCCCAACACATCCCACCTAGTGGTTTTTCTTATAAATAAAACCAAAGGAGCAAAGATGATTGTTTTTATAAATTGATGCTGTATGTTACTCATCCCATTTCATCCACGGATTCGTGAATTATTTAGAGAAAGTAAGATAAGAAAAATTGGGAGACAGCGCCCCCTAGTGTCAAGTGAGGCCCCTTGCTGTTCGATTTTGCAACGGCCGGCAGCCTGTTCTATCATCAAATCCTATTGTGTGCGTTATTGTCTCGTTTTCAGCTTCTGGATCCGCTGGTGGATTGAACTGGCGTAGTTATTGTCTGTTGTGTACTTAAAACACAAACAAATTTGATCCAAGCTCCTTGATTTCAAATGATGTCACCTCCAATACCCATCCAGTCAAAACCATACGTTATCATTTTACCGAAAGAGTCAATTTATAGGCCTATATCAACCAAACAGTTGACCGTGCTTGACCTTTTTTTATTGGGGGGGGGGGCTAAAGTACGTCATACAGCGTGATAAACGATTAAGCAACTTGGATGGATTTTATTCGTTGATACGAAAATTGATCGGTGCATGCTTTTATTTTTTATAAAGAATATTTCGTCCTCGGAATCAGTAGGATTTCGGCAAAGAATGTTGCACAATCTACCAAGGGTTCTTTTTTTTTTTTTTTTTTTTTTTACAATCCTGATTTTTTTTTGGCTTATATTATTTATTGAAAACTACAAACCAACCGATGTAGAATAATACTAATGACAAGAGCAATATGCTTCTGGTGGCACTTACCATCGAACAACTATTTACTGCTTGCAATCAAATATCTGTTATGACGTCACCGTGAACAACCACCGTAAAATAAGTGGAAATGCTTACGTGCATTTATTGTTCAGAACACGAACAAGTCATTTAACCAATAACGAGTAATTACTCAAACCACGTGATTAATATTCTTCCAATGCCAAGCATTCTTTTTCACAGCCTCTTGATTTTAATTGCCAATTTCGCTCGTCATTGATGCATCGGTTTCCTTAGTGACTCTGAATTTAATTGCCCCTTAGAACTCCAATTTCAGCTCACTTATGACGGAAATCCGGTTCATTTAAGTTTGGATTAAAAAGTTAATGGGAAACTGCAAAATTATACTGCTTTTCGACAGCTAATATGTGATCATAAAACATAAGTATATAATCCAAATGTTTGTCTTGTCGTCTAGGCTTATAGAACCCCAACCCCACCCCCACAAAACGACAGAGGCACGCTAAGGTGACATGCTTCTGACCAATAGGGCCTGGTCTTCTATTTACGTACCCGCGGATCTCCAAGCAGAATATAAATATGCATTTCACTCGCACTAAAGCTTCAATTTGGCAGAAGAATCGCCGGCAAGAATTGTTCAGTGAAAAAGCTGCTTAAGAAAAGACTTAACGCGCTAGCTTTAAGTTGAATACATTTCATCGTATCCTTTCAGCCTTTCCCAAACCAAGAAAGCTAGTCAGCGCCGTGCTTACATCTCGTATCACCGGTGGCGGTGTAGTTACACAACGCAATCCATTCGCCTCAGCGTCTTGGGGTTTTTTCTTGAAGGGGAAATAGCGTGGGACGGACCACATCTGCTTTGACGCTCTGCCGCACCTCCACGCTGTGCTATACCACCTATAGACCTGGGCTTCGGTTGGGCACATCCGGCCGAGTACACTGCCAGTCGATATCGGTACCATTCTATAGCTCCTTCACGCCTACAAGCTTGGGTCGATTTCTTCTCGGCACATCTTGGCTCGTCAAGTCGCACGTTGCTCGTGTATACGTTTTGACACCATCGTCACTGGCGCCCGGACAATTTACACTGACAGTCTGTTGGTAGAGGTGCGCTTTTTTTTTACCTTCTGACTTGGCGCGGAGACAAGGAACAGTTTCTTGAGTTGCTTGATCAGATAGAATGGGGACAAACGTTTGTGTGCTTGCCTTACTACTGATGGCGTGTGTGGCTGCTGTGACATGTACGAATGGTAAGAATTCTTCTTTCAGTAATCTTTTTCGTTTTATCATTCTTTAAAATCAAATTGGTTCTTGCTTTAAATATAATGTGCAGTAAGAGTACTAAGTTGTGCATAAGATAGTTTGCTCTGTTTAATGAACAGTTTTTTTGTACGCCTTTAATTTTCGGGAGGTTTTCAACAATATTATAGCCTCTTTTAACATTTCACAATTTGCCCACCTAAGAGAATGGGATATTAAACAAAACAAAGGTAATCTGTAAAAAAAAAAAAAAAAAAAAACTGTGTACCATTTTGAACATTTAGTTTAACAAAGGAATTGATTGCAGCGCGATTAGAACCCGCTACACTGCATGAAAAAAATCTTGGATAAACCCTGTTGAGCGATGTTCTTTGCCCAACATGAGTATGAGATTACCTCAATTATTGTTTGGTAATTCAGGTAAAAACAAACCGACAAACTTTTGGGAAGAATTTACCCAAGGGTGAAGACAGTTGGTATGTTCACCAACATTGGAACTCAATTGCCATACTTTTATTTAGTGCACCGTATATGGGTTGCTTGTTCACTTTCCGCTCCTGTAGTTTTCTTAGCTCGACCCATCTTCTTTCAAATTGCTCATCGAATCATCAGCGTCAAAGAAGTACATTCTAAAATCAGACATATCGGAAAATTTTGCCTTTAACCGTCAGGGTCATGTCAAGCAAAATACTGCAAGCTGCCTCATTGGTTTCGTTACTTTCGTACCTTGGGTTGAAATCAACCATGCTAAGTCGCCCAGATCTTTTTCGTTCTATTTTGCCGATAGGACGTATACCGCTGGTTGGTATTGATCTGGGAATAATGATCTAGCCAAGACCCAAGGCCGACCGAGCCTAGCGATCTAGCATTCTGCCTTAATATACAAACCGCAGTTATTCCATCTAGCGTTCAGCTCATGAACTTTGTGGTGTGCAATATCAATTGGATATCCTTTTTCGTAGAAGGGACAGAAAGGGGGAAAGGAACAAGTTGCACTGTTGGTCTCCCGCTTGGCTTTGTCCGTCTGAACAAATTATTTTGTTATTTTGTCAACTTTGATTAACAACATTAGAGAGATACTTTGTAGTAAGCCTAAATTATTTTACATTATAGGGAGACATGTTAGTGTCTCCCTATAGCTTTAACTACCATTTATAGAACAAACTTTATCATCACGAAATGCTTAAAACGATTCCCTGAGTCGAGAATACCGGTAGTTAAAATTAAAACGTTCTGGGAAGGGGTATTTAAAAATAGGGTTGGGGAGGTTTTTGGTTGGGGTTTCAGTTTGTGCACATGGGAATGTCGCCCTCTGGTATAATATGTATTGTTGGTAGGCCTATTTAATCATATCCAATTAATTATCTCTAGTCATTAACTCTTTCTGTAAATTGTAAATCAAGCTTTGTCATGAGAAATACAGAATTAACCTCGTTGGTTTGACCGTCGTTCAATCATGACGGAAAGGGAAGAGGGACTGGAAAAATAACTAGGTCCCAGTTGATCGTTTGGAATGTGAGATACGTTGTTTCGAATTAAGGATTTGGTAAATATTGGAGCGCACGAACTAATATAACGTCCTACGATCACACGTGGTAATAATAGGCCATTTATATTCCTAAGCAATTCCGACTCCCTTCCATGCATCTTCGAAAGGGGTGCTTTGATAGTGGTCAGCCTATACATAAAACAGGAAAATGATTCATCTTTATCTTTACTATAGCCAGTTCACTTTTAAATTGGTAACAATTACCGCCCGTAGAATTACCACTGAAATTCACAAACACCAGCATTGAAGAACTTTTATTCAAGCAGAAAAGAATGGCCAACTTTCCGTTACAACTTGAATTTCTAAAGTCAGACTGCCCACAGATATATTTAACTGGCAAATAAAAGATAAAGGCAATACTGAACAGCCGTTAACGTTAACATGGAGCATTCGAAAAGTTCAATTTGATAAAAGCAATTTCCGGATGAGTTTTATACCACAGAGTTAACCCCTGGGTTGATTTAATTTCTCAAATCCTTATTTTCTGCATCGGTAAACTACGAAGTGTACTTAACCCGTTGAGACATCAGAAGGTAATTTTCCGTCAAAACCAAACAGAAGCACTTTTCTTGTACACTATGCTAGTTGTCTTTGCCTGGTTTGTCAAAACCGGACATGACTTTTTTTGCTCAAGGCATATTTCATGTTGACGAATATCACGCACAAAATGGATGTTTCGCTCGAAATTGTAAAAACGTGCTCAATGTGTCGCCCTACAAATCTCAAAGTGTCAAGATTAATATATTGTCGTGTTAGGCACAGACACTGTTCAATCCATTTCTGGTTATTAGGAGAAAAACGGACATTCAGAACAAGCAAAAGTGCACCAGCAAAGTACCGTCTGCAGTAAGCATTTAGGGCCTACATGTAATTTTATTTATAAACATAGATATGCAGGTAACATTTAACATGACTATTCCGCCCCTGACCACTCCTTTTGTGATGGATTGATTTGGCTTTTTGCGTTCGATGTCCGTGGTCATACCAAAATACAAATTCTGTACTTGAACTGAATCTACAATCCTAGCCAAATCTCGCTGGGCCCCTAAACCCCCCGGCCCCCTGTCAATGCTGTCTCTCATTGCGCGGTGTGTGCTCCATCAGCTGGAGAGAACAGCATTGACCGGGGGAGCGGGGGAGTGGGTGACCGTGGAAGACTAAGGTTATTTCCAAGTGTCCCAACCATTTTGGCCGGGATTGTAGGATCCCTGTCTAAGGAGCATATTGGCTTTGTGTTGTCATCTGCAGCATAAGCACTTTTGTTTTGGTTTATTTATTTTTGGGGGGAGGGGGGCCGTAGGAAGGAAGACCGTTACGTGTTGGAAACAATAAGCGCCATATTGTCTGTGTTGTACCATATTTTTGTGTATACGTTGACATTCTAAAAGTTACTGCAAAGTCATATTTTGGTGTGCAATAATATTGTTGGTCGATTCTGGTAAAATGATAATCTGTTGTCGTTCTCCTTTTTTTTTGGATACAGCTCGTCCACGTAGAGGCTGTGACACATTATGCAAATTGAAGTCACTCACACACCAGGGTAAGTTTACAATTCTTATTAACGGAGTCGAACCTGCGACCTCTCGTTTGAAATCCCAGCCTCAAATCTGAATCATTTTAATCATCACGTGGGATATGTTGAACCCCTTCAGGCTATAATGTGGCTCAAAAAATCATATTCTCCTAGATCCGTGTTGCTTGTTGTTGTTGTTAATGCGGTTGTTGTTGTTGTTTTGGACTGCAAGACGGAAAAGTTTACCCGAAAGAGGCGTGAGATATTATCAGTTTAAATGTTCACATCACATTCTTGTCATGACCTCGAACAACCCATCATCTCACATCAAATAGCCAACATTCATTCCATGGTTATTTACCAGTAACCAGTTATAATTCCACTAATGCAAAGTAAAGCAATGAGATAGATAACAATACATACCATGCTTCACAGATCAACAAAGTTCACAGGTCACGTGATATATGCTCGATTTGCATTGGCAGACGCGACAATCGAACCCGTGTCCCGTCAATTAAGATCTCGGGCGTAAACAAGTATTTATTCATTATTAGCGGAATAGACTAAAGTATCATATCAGCATGCACGATCTGGCTGATTCTGTGCTCTTTAGCACTTGCAACTTTTTTTTTTTTTTTTTGGCTCTACAGTCCAAAACCAATCAGAAATGTGTGTGGGCGTGCTTGCTGATGTAGTTGACGAACTTTAAAATTCATAGTACCAAGAGTTTGGTTCGATCACTTCCGCTTTTCAAAATTCTCTCAGGAAGTTGCCAAGGTGTTACAACTGATAATGTAGTATCCAACGGATAACGTATCACCAACCGATAATGTATTACAAATTGACTGATATTGTATCACTAACCGATGATGTAGCAACAATTGACTGATAGTGTAGTAAAACAATGTATGCGAAATAAATGTATCACGTGTCGACGGATAATGCAGTTACCCAAAAAATGTATCCGATAATGTATCACCACAAAACGGATACTGTATCAACCGATAACGTATCGAAATCAACCGATAATGTATCAGCATGGAAAAAGGTATATAAACATGTTTGTTTATGTCTTATTGTTTGCACGGGCTAAATCATCGTTGCGCTCACAAAATTCAAACAAATCTCAATTGAAAACAACAATACGTTGTTTACTGTCTTTCTTATCAGGGGTGGATCCATGAAGATTTTTTTTTTTTGGGGGGGGTTTCAGGCCCGCATGTGTTTTTTCTTCGGACACTTGGCCTCTCCGTAAAATCCAACAGAGTAGGAGGGGGTGGGGGGCTGATACCATTCTCCAAATTGGGTCGTTGTTCAAATCCGACGATCATGAACACTACACTGAAATATTGCCTGGGTTAATTTTAGAAAGGGTGAAAACTGGAACTACCCAAACTTGGGTTGTTCTACAACCAATTGTTTGGGTTAGAATTTCTGCTAAATTCAACCGAAACTTGTGGTCATTTAAGACTAAGACCAAATTTAATTTGGTCTTGTATGATTACAACTTTTGGTAGCATAATAGTGTATAAATACCCCCTTATTACTCCCGCTGGCTACGCCTCTGTGTCAGATTGTTGCAAACAGGCGAGCATAGAGGTAATTATTATTAGTACCATCAGAGTGGGCGGACCCCAAAAACCACCCCTCTGTATCCACACCTGTTCATCGCAAATAAATATTTGGAAAAATGCCTGAGCTCGAAGTTTTTTGTTTGTTTTTGTTCTCACCGTGGCAAAAGTCACCTCGTTAGGCAAGAAGGATCATACCTTGAATCGTACATTGGTCTACACGAATCAGCTGGTATTAATTTCCCATAGCGTTGGAAAAGGTGCGAACATATAATATTAATACATTTATGTTCTCACGAAGTGTCAAAATTTCGTTAATGATTGTTTGATTAAGAAAAAAATGTAAACACGACTGTAATATACCAAAGACTAAAGCATGAGCTGTTTAGAAAGTGCAAAAGGTTCATGAACTCTGTTACAGCAAAGTGGTCAAACCGATTTTAAAATTACCGTTACGGTTTTGTTCGCCACTACTGGACTCTTCCATGCCTAATTTCATTGGGGTCTTTACCCGACGTTCCCCAACATATATGTTCCCCAATACCTATGTTCCCCAAAATCCTTAGGGTTAGGGTTGGGGTTAGGGTTGGGGAACATAGGTATTGGGGAACATAGGTATGAACCCATTTCATTCCGTGTATATACGGTTACCATGTTTAACAAGCTAGCGAGGTATTTAAGCCGCTTGTGCGCATACATCCCGTAACTAATTATTATGTACGTACAGGGTTAGCTTCTTTTGGGGGGGGGGGGGGGGGAGGGGGTGGGACTGGCGCTGTCAGCATAGAATGGTGATGGTAGGCGCGGAATTCTGTGTTTAGAAGAGCAATCATAAAATGAATGATGTATGACAAAGTTCAGTGCCAAAAGTGGCGTGTACTAAAACCGTGTACAAAGTCTATGGGATTTTGCATGGAACAAAAAGAAGAAAGTATTAAATAAAAAATCAGAACAAAAAGAAAGGCTTTTTCGCAAATTGCGAAAAAGACAATTGGGCCCTGAACACGTCACGAAGGGTGTGCGCAGTACGGGAAATATCAAAGAGAGCTCTAGATCGAGCGACCTCAGCTCCGGTACAATGAAAACTTGAGGGCAACTTGGATTGGTCTCTACATGTTAGAAAATGTCGGCGGTTTATTGCGGCTCAGGGTGTTGATTTTTAGACAATAGTGGTCTTTGACCAAGCATGCTCAGCCAGAGAAGTTGATTTTTCAGCTGACAGACCTGAGACATTAAGTACCGTGGTTTAAGGCACTTTCCTTCGTGAATGGAAATAATTCTATCACCGAGAAGGTCGCGAATTATAGGCTGGTGCTCCTTTTAAATTTTGTCCGGCGTCCTTGTTTACCATGCATTTGTGTAGAATAACAGCTTGGAAATTTGAGTAAAGTATTGGTTTCGTTGTACATCACCCAGCGAATCAGCGGTAATATTCTCCATAATTTGAAGTACTGTGTTCATTATACCAAGTCATTTTAAGTACAGTGACAAAGTGGCGTCAGGAGTGGTAAATGTTTTAAGTAAGTAACCCAAATTAAAACCAAATTCATTAATTTCCTACTCAAAATCAGGAAAATGATGAATGGATTTAAAGGTCAACAGGCAACTATCGGTGGACGGCCATCAATTAACCAGCATTCACAGTACAATCAACCTGTCGTTATATTAATAATATATATATGTCCTCAGATTGATTAAAGTTCAGAATAGTTTATTAAAATAAAAAGCCTATCCGTATAGTATTAAGGTCTTATTCGTAAATTACTTGTGAGAAACTTGAAGTTTTCATCACAGAATTTATGAAGCAAACACGGCTGCTCTATATGGTGAATTTATCAAACAGTCGAATTGCACTGAAAGAAAACCTGCAGTATCATGGGCTATAGGTGGGCTCGAACATCCGGGATTTTTTAGGGCTGTTCCGAATATTCGAATGTGCCATCAGAAACCGAATATTCGATCAGTAAAAAACAATATGCACGTGCATAACGACTGTGGTGTCAGTTTAATTCCTAAACAGTTGTTGTTTCTTTTAATTGTCAGATTCCACTTTTTTGTCGACGGTCATTTTCTTGTCGTGTCCTATTTATTGGTCCCAATCTTTTAGCTGGGTAGAGTCCCTTGAATTGACAGTTGTACAGTTATAACAGTACTTTGTTGCAAAACACTCAAGCGGCCCATAAAAGCTATTGCCGAATGCAAATTCTTTGTGTGCAACTTTTGATCAGCAAACGGCTGCAGCTGGCGCGTGTAAAACTTGATCGGTGAATTTCGCATATTCGGTCAAATGCAATTTCGAAACATCGAATACTAAATTATTCGATAATGAACCGCCCTAATATGTTTTACATTGGCTTATCTAGCTCCCAGACCTATGTTCTTGAAACTCTATGGTTCTTGAGTCTGGAGTGCTGAATGGTAACACATAGCAACCGATGAAAACTGGTGTGTTGGATGACGTCACTCCTTAGCAAGTAGCAGTTGGTAGGATTAAAGGGACACTGCGGATGTGATTTGTGGTTGGCAACCGGGGTCTACCCGATGTTCCCCAATACCTTTGTTCCCCTATACCTATATGTTCCCCAAAATCATTAGGGTAAGGGTTAGGGTAAGGGTTAGATGGTTAGGTTGGGGTTAGGGTTGGGAACATATGTATTGGGGAACAAAGGTATGCACCCCTGCCAACCCTACCATTTCCATATAAACATGGAGTATCATACCTGACTGCATGGTTGCCAAAACATTAACCACGCCCAACACTTTCCTGACGACTCAGCGAAGACAATATTAAAAAACGAATATTATGTGACTGGCGTGGGCCAAATCTAATTTAAGTGAGGCTTAGCCGTGGGGGGGTCACCAATGTCTGACGTGCTTGTCTATTTGGGAGGTTTTGATGGGGGAAATCGGGAGAAGTTTTGATCCTCGATTTTATATTAAGCTTTTATATTGTTGCGGTTTGTTGTAATGTGCCTGTCACCACTGTCTGTGTATGTTATCAGTTTATTCCTTCACGTCTGCGACAGTAATTTTAAATCGATTAGTCAAGCGTGCGATCGCTAGTTTTCGCTGCTTTCTAATCGCATGACATTGACCGGCTTTTTTTTTTTAGATCGATCTAACTGCAACGTCAAGGCATGAGTTGATCATTCTCAGCCTTGTGGCGTTGCCTCATCTTGGTTCTGTCTTATCGTGATATCACACGAAGGCCCATGATGGAACTATCAGATCGACAGCCCGATACAGCGCCAATGGCGACATAAAGTGAACCACGGCATGATCATTTCAACATCTTGATTAAAAGGACTTCCTAAATTTACCCCCCTCTTCCCCCGTCAGATTCGGGTTGTATTAGAAGAGAAATCTCCACTTCGTGGCTAAAAGGCCACCGGCGTGTTGCCATTTCTGATCTCGCCAATATTGATCCCTCGCCACGCTCGTCTGGCGTGGGTAGAA